ATAAGTAAACGTCTCAAGATTAGTTGGGTTTAGACGGTAAGGGACTTATTCGTTTTAACTGCAAAGGGTGTAACTTAACTGATGTTGCATGCCCTGTCAGGATACTGACTCGGTAGTGGGTCCCAGTCTAGGTGATACACTGCCACTCGATCACGGCCTACAGGAAATTTACCGTAAAATGAAAAAGCCAACTGATATGTATCCACATATATATATTTTGTGTGTGTGTATGTTGGTCTCTCTTTCTGTTTGCTCTCTTAGTCTGTGACCATTTCACTTTGATGAACCTGTCTCCTTTAACAATGTATATTCTCCTTATATTATATAATATAATATGAGTGTTTGTTGACAGTCCGTTGCTTAGTGACATATATCCATATATGGTGGTTGTTGACATGTCTGCTATATTTTGTCATATATATTTCGTTCTCACAATTTGTGTGACTTACAGACTTACTTACTTACTTTGGTGTGATACCACTTATTGCTTCTCCTTGTGTTTGGAAAATAGAAGTATCATCGCAAACCTAGTGGTCTTCTGATTTCCGCCTTCTTGCGTCAGGACTATTAGTTTCTCGACCAGTCCATAATAATAATTTAGCGACGAGTACATAACACCAACCCACTCTCTTTTCCAGGCCTACTGTAGGCTAGCGAATTGTTCAAGGTTTAGGAGTAATTCGATCGTGAATCCTTGATGAATACTCAGAAAATTATGTAAATATACATACATGACTCTGTTGTCATCGAAGCGTCCAATCGCAAACGTGTCAGTTCTCAGAAAGTATTAGAAGTAGAAGTCCATCTAACCACAGTGTCTCCTTTACCTAATTACCGTAGAGAAGTATAGTCTCACTTGAAAGGATTAGAACTGAAAGTAATGAAACACCTCAGTACACACTCTGCCTTGCTAGCAACGTATAGGTCATTTTGATAAAATGCATTACGCGTTAAACTCTCAAATAAAATTATTGCACACACAAGTCTTCTGTTTGAGCACCCAGGGATCTAAAACACAAACATATACTGACTATAACAACACTCACCACATAAAGTCAAAGAATCAATTACTGATTGGAATTCGTGTAACAATGTAGAACTCTGTTAAGTTGTGAAATTCTCTCTCAGTTGTTATCCATATCACCTTGTTATCAAAATCACGCAATTTAATTATTAGGACATTTAAGACTCCAACGAATTCTACCGCCTCATCGTTGAGTCATAACTATAAGCAACATAGGCGACAAACACTTCAAATTATATCAGAAATCACACCAACTGCTGATGAGACAACACCTTTGCCTCATTGGATAACGCTGATGTAATCAGGTGGGATTTAGCTGGACAGGCGTTTTCGCCTAAGTATTGGTTTTGTAGGGACTTTTTGTTTGATTGTTTAGAGGATTTCATGATGAGGCGACATTGATTAGAGAACCATTGGAAAACCACCACTGGAGTACTGGACAGCCGTTTCGTCCTAGTTTGGGGCTCTTCATCAGTACGCGCCACAGAATAGTAATGCATGCCAGTCTCGTCCCACGAGAGCAGGGATAGGTGTGTTCGGTTACCCACGAAAACCAATACCCAGTCGATGACTGTATCATTATGTGAATTTGTTTGAATCCCGGCGAGTGCATACTGCCGAAGAGTCCCCAACTAGAACGAGTCAGTTGTCCAGTACTCCAGTGGTAGTTTTCCAATGGTTGTCTAACTGATGTCGGTTCATCATAAAATCCTCCAAAAATATGATTTTTCCTACATAGTGGTAATGATGGTTACCCGCGAAATTCGTAAATCAAAACGCTGTTGTAAATACATGTCAGTCAATGCATAATACTTCAACTGATAATTGACATTATCTCTTTTGATTAAACACCAGTTAATAACTAGTGTAATAAACCTAGTCTTTTGTTTGGTACAGACTGGATTCTATCAGTCAGGTTTGCAATTTCACTATCATGGTGTACTGTGAATTGTTCGTATTAGATGGTCGGTGGCAATCGGCCACAGGAAGCCTTGCATAGCACCTAGGTTTCGTACTATTTGGCAATCATCAGTCAGCAAGGCGTATCTGCAACCTTGGAAGAATTCATATTCCTTTTTAAGATTCGAACCCATGCCATCAGTCAGTGCTGCAGTCAGAGACGTTATCACTGAGCTATTCAAGCACACGATTGACCTCCTGTAGGACTGTATTGGATATCTTGAGTGGATACTAGTCAGTGACCAGTGTAATGTGTGTGTCTAGCTCTAGCTGCAGACTGAATTCTAGTTCCTGACTAGTGTCCAATCAAAAATATCCTACAGTGGCAACGTCTCTGACTGCAGCGCTGGCTGGTGACGCAGGTTTGAATCTTAAAGGGACAAAGTTCCTTTGAGGTTGGAGATACGCCTTGCTGATGAGTGCCCCAACCAGCAATAAAACCACGTCATGCAAGGCTTCCTGTGGCCAATTACCTCCAACCATTTAATACTAATAATGAAATAAACCTCTTTTATTTTTGCTCAATCAAGCAATACACGAACTAACGCATGCTGACTGAAAGATACAATATGCATGTACATTCTAATGAATCTTATATTGTTTTTCAGTTAACTTCGTTATTCGTAATATGAGAGTTTACCTACACACACTGCATACGAAAATAAAATCCAGTCACATTTGATAAAGATCACACAAACTCCAACCCGATAGATTAGGTATAATTCACTACAACCTTGCACTTTAAACGGGAACACCTCAATTCCTTCTCATCTGATTGACTGAGTTCCAATGTAAAACGTTGTATAAGCATTGATGTGTTCCGCTTGAATTTGACACAGTCTGCATAGAGTATCAAGGTGGCGAAAAAAGACTCGCAAGACCTATACCGCACACAAATCTAGAAGAAAGAGTAGTAAACTGTAAAAAAGATAGTGATTGAGTGGGACATGGAAGGTCAGAAACGGTGAATGCATCTGCGCCACTGGCGAAAACAGTTTACGGCAATATCAACAAACAGTATCAAGTCGTTAATTCTTACTATCTCGAAGACCCCAACTAATGAAGTCTCCACCATCCTAAATAACTCAAACTAACAGTCAAAGATTTCATGAGTAATAGATGTCATGTTTTGATTTTTCCGACCCCACCCCCGCTTGTATCATATCCAATTTATCTTATTTGAGCTAATATCGATCGATGAAGTGGATGATGACTGAGCATGCATAACACACATCAATCAATACAGCTTCACAACCTTATCGACTGACATTTCCTTTCTTACCTAACACTCTATACGCCTTATCTCACTAATTGCCCCGGACACAGTTAACCTTTTCACGTCTTCAACTATTAATCGTGACGTCCCACAGATATAAAGAAGGATAGAACAAACTGTTGCACAGTACACACTCGCCACAGATGATGTTACTTGGCGAATGTTACACGACCTAATAGATATTTAGACTTTAATTGAACTCAACCGTAAACTGTTAAGGCAGGCTTAGTTAAGCGTCTAACAAACCGAGCAGTAGCACTAAGTAGCACAAAAAAGACCTAAATCACGAACTAAAAACAGATAGAAGAGGTGTTGGTGTTAAATAACTATCCTATGAAATTCATTAGGATGATCAAAAAAAGTCAAAAGCAAGATAAAAATAATTGTGAAACCAGTAATAATAACATAAATAAGAGAGAATATAGGGCATCCACAGTAGTTTTACCATATAAGGAGGGGACATCTGAGACCCTACGTAGGATTCTTAATAAAGCAGGAATTAGGGTGGCATTCAAACCTACAAACTCTGTAGGCTAAACGACCTGTGGGTTGACCCAATTAGACAAAATAATATAATCTAGAAAATACCCTACAATGGCTGTGAGGTGAACTATATAGGTCAAACTAGTAGATCGGGGGTTATCAGATTGTCAGAACATACGAATTTAGCTAAGGTAAGAATGACTGACCCAGAGAATATGAATAATTTAGAAAAAAGCTCAGCAATCGCACTTCACGCATTAACTCAAAACCAAACAATAGGGTGGGAGAGGGTTAAGATTCTACGAAGAAATCTATGTAGGTGGAGAGAAGAAGTGATTGATTACTAAATCCGGGTTCATCGAGTCTACCTACACCCAACACATGCAATAGAAGTGACTCAACGCAAATACTAGAGAAATGTGTAGAAGATATTATTACCACCAGCCAAATCAGAGGAAGATAACAAATTATCTTAAAATTCTATTTCAATTCAAGCATATCACAACATTCTAACAAGTCACTTATTATGACTATAAAAACACTCGTCTTATTTCCCATCTGATTGATCAATAACACTCATATTAGTATTTCTAAATGTACACTATCCCATATTGATTTTTATTCAAACATCTAATCGATTCCACACATGTATATAAATGAAGGAAGAAAGTTGTGTGAGTACTGTCTTGATGTGATTACTAGCAATAATTTGTGCTCGAAATGTGGTCATCAGTAAATATTACTGTGTATGACTTAACCCAAATATAATCCTATCCATAATGGAGTTATACTCTACCACAGTGCCCAAGTTTTATACTTATATCACTATTACACGACCTTCTTCTGTTTGTGCGGAACAACAGCAAATATAATAGGCGTACTACTCCCCGCCCCGCCCTCTCTACGAAGTCGACATAATCCAGGCCACACATTGAAAGAATAAATATAAGCAAATTATACAAAATAATGACAATCTAAATATAATTCATAAATAAATATATATATTATATATATTCTATAAGTACATTTACACGTAAATATACAAACATGTACATCTTATAAAAAGATATGCAGGGGAAATATAAAAAGAAACTAACAATTAAATCGAAAGAGAGGAAGAGAACAGAACAATAGAGTACGGAACAAAGAACATGAAAGAAAAATCAAGTGTATTTACAACAAATAGAATCACCAAACAAGGTAGATCCTTTAACGTACACACCAACTGCTCGGCTTTAAGTCTTCACACATTCATTATTAATCACTTGTAGGTATGCATTCCACCATTTCAACGTCTAAATCCATAACATTGTTGTTATTAGTATTAAGACTCTGAAAAGAAAATATAAAAATGTTATTTCACTATTTTTCCAGGATACACCATAATCTAACATCAAGTTAGAGAACCACTAAAAGCCACCAAGGGGTGTACTGAACAGCTGTCTGGAACTCCTCAGAGCATTACGCACCTACAACACAGTTCGAACCCGCAACCTTCCGGTTACAAAACGAACTTGTAGACCATTCTAAGTCATTGAGACCCGACCCAATGATCCATGAATTCCGAATGTTACCAGCTCGTGAGTCAATATCATCGTTGGCGAGTATTTATTTTTACACCCCTACTTCTACCACCTGGTGAACCACACCGGTCACAACTTCTCACTAGAGATCCATGCAGCTTCGTTTACAACCAGTAACCGACTAACATCAAGCATTAGATTAATTTTCAAGAATTAGTTTGTAGGGATTCGATGGACATCTGCTTTGTCCTCCTAGCTTGGGACTCCTCACAGTAAGTACCCCCATTGCAGGGTTTCCAACCCAGATCGTTGCCAAACTTCTAACAAATAAATTTTACCCACAGCACTGTTAAAATATCATCTGAAGAGAAAATGCCCACATTGATTTAATAACAAAAGATGAGAACAGTGAGGGAACCCTCCTTTTCGACAAAATTGTAATTTATTTAACAAGAAATTCACAGATACTGGAAATTCTATGTCTGACAAAATTGTATTCCGTAATCTGAGGTGTAATTTTAGAAGGTATTAACAATTAAGAGGAGATTAAATAACGCAATAAGTATAAAAAATTATCTGGTCAATCCAAAAATACAGAAAAGTTAGTGAGGAAGTACGATAAAGTGCCTGTAGAAAATCTGTATGAGAAATGCAACGTTGTGAACTTTAAAAGTATACATCAACTTTAGATCCCCCTATATAAGTAATGATTTCTCACTACCTATCGGATGGACTGAAAGTCTCATCAACACGGTGGTAGATGTAAAGGTAAGTTACATTATATCGGTAATGTCTATGTGTAAAATACAAGTATATTAAACACCTGGAGTTATTAGATGGTTGAAGGCAATCAGCCACAGGAAGCCTTGCATGGCACCTAGCTTTCGTGCTAGTTGGCACTCACTAGCCAATCAGAAAGGCGTATCTGCAACCTCGAAGCAACTCATGTGCCCTCTGAGACTCGAACCCAATGTCACTAGCCAGTGCTGCAGTCAGAGATGTTACCACTGAGATGTCACCACTATTCAGACTCGCGATTGGCCTTCTGTAGGACTGTATTGGATACTTTTGACTAGACACTAGTGACTGACTAGTGTGCAGTCACAAAGTATAACTGGAGTCAGGTGCAAGATCTGAATCTTACTGGGAACGCTATCATTCAATGGAGGAGCAGGGGAGTAGATGCATATCTGACTGACGAATCTTGAATCAGGTGAAACACAGGTCATAGATTCCACTACCTAGCTGCCAATAACCTCAAAGATATATATATATATATCCGTGTGCGTGTGTATTCCTGAGCTATTTTTCGTCGTCATTATCAACTATACTGGCATAAATTTACCTTTATTTTACAATAAACGGCAAAAGGTTTCACAAGCAGTCAAATCTATCGAGTGACAAGTCGTGCACTACTACTGCTACTGCTGGTTAAATACCTATATTGCAGGTGATGTTGGAAGTTTTGAAATAATGATACTTTGACCTCACTCTACCCTCCACATACACACAGTTACTCTCGATATATGTATGAGCTTTGGACAGTCTAAATGGGTAGTGCTGTTGCACGGTCCGCAAGTGCTTGTATCCGCACTCACTCTAAGCTGTTGACAACTTCGTGTACCTACATAATTCAATGAAATGTAAAATACCTAACCGTATAGTGAAAGCTAGAGTGATATACGTCTATTTGGGCCACCTTTAGCGTCGTCACAACGTTACCCTGTCTGCCAAACGTCAAGTTAACAATGCTTCAGTGCACATAGTCTTGCCCTACGCCAAAGAAACCTGTCCTCCCCAAGCTGAAAATGTGCAACATATTCGTGTATAATTTCACAAATCTGATGAAATCATCGTGTAAGTGTAGTTCTGAGGTTTAGGCAGTATGTGTTATCTGGACGCCATGCAGATCGGCCTTTCATTTCAGGTAATGTGGTCATCTTGAAACTCCGGCTTCCATGGCATTTCCACATGTGCTGAGAATTTTATCCCAGAGGCTCCCTCACCAATACCATTCGATGGAAACGTCTCACCATCGGATGAAGGATATTTGTATTAGGTTAGCATCTATTGATACATCACAACTCCATGGATTGGTGTCCGAGAGAAGTGACCGCCAGATATGGTCAAGAATCGCAATCAAACATGAACATGTTACAATTTCCTTCTTTCTTCCCTATTCTGAAAGTATCATGAAATGATGAATGCTGGAAAATGATCTCGACAAGTAGGCTTACATTCTGATGATACATTCATCCTCACCAAATTGCAAACGCAACTGCGTTAGAGCAGATATTTGACCTGCATCAAGCGGAATAGAAACTTCAGCTCACGTGAATAAATCTCATTAGACCATTCAAGGTCAACAGTGCGAACGCACTCCATTGTTAGTTAGTGGTGCTTAAAGTTTAACTTGGCCAAATTCGGTCCCTATTTTCCAGAAACATTATATCGTCAAGGATTGGTTTTGTAAGGAATTTTGTTTGATTGGATGGAGGATTACACCATGTCTGTCTGTTTTCGACATAGAACTTTGCACAAATGTGCGGAAGTTCAAGTCGCCACATTCCGTGTAGCACGCAAAGCAAGAGAAGAAAGTACAAGAAAAGCATAATAGAAACAGTGAGCAGAGGTGTGAGACAAACGAAGAGTAATAACGAAGAACAAAACAGTTTCATTGGAGATCATAAGTCACAAGGAGTGGATGCATCTGCGTTAGCCACTGAGAACGATTTTGAGCCATGTCACCAATTGTTTCCAACCATAGATTTTTACCGTCCGAGGACCCCAGCCAGTCAGGAAGTCTACACCTTCCTATGTGGCGGGTGTACTGCTCATCAGTCCGCTCCGTCCTCCTTTATGGTTGTGAGACCTAGTCACTGAGAGTGGAAGACATGAAAAGACTAGCTGTCTTTGATCATAGGTGCCTGCGTTCTATTTCCCGTGTAAAGTGGTATAATAAGGTGAGCAATATTGAGGTTAGGCGTAGAGTTCTACGTAAACAGGGGAAATCAATCGACGAAGTCGTGAAGCTACAAAGAGTGAGATGGTTAGGACATGTGTTACGTATGCCAAGCCATCGCCTCCCTCGACGAGCAATGTTAGCGGATATAGGGTCAGGCTGGAAAAAAGCTAGCGGCGGTCAAACAAAAACTTGGCCCCACCAGTCAATGAAATCCACAACAGTTGGTCTAAGCCACGTAGGAAGGTGTAGACTTCCTGACTGGCTGGGGTCCTCGGGACGGTAAAAATCTATGGTTGGAAACAATTGGTGACATGGCTCAAAATCGTTCTCAGTGGCTAACGCAGATGCATCCACTCCTTGTGACTTATGATCTCCAATGAAACTGTTTTGTTCTTCGTTATTACTCTTCGTTTGTCTCACACCTCTGCTCACTGTTTCTATTATGCTTTTCTTGTACTTTCTTCTCTTGCTTTGCGTGCTACACGGAATGTGGCGACTTGAACTTCCGCATATTTGTGCAAAGTTCTATGTCGAAAACAGACAGACAGACAGACGTGGCTTAGACCAACTGTTGTGGATTTCATTGACTGGTGCCAAGTTTTTGTTTATGCCACTTCACACGGGAAATAGAGCGCAGGCACCTATGATCAAAGACAACTAGCCAGCCTTTTCATGTCTTCCACTCTCAGTGGCCAGGTCTCACAACCATAAAGGAGGACGGAGCGGACTGATAAGCAGTACACTCGCCCTTTGGTCGATAGTCGAACATCTCGTCTACGCCAGAGTCGGCGTAAACTGGCAAATGCGAAACGAGTCCCCTGTATTCGTGCTGAGATTTCGTCAGAGATCAACCCGTTGGCGTTGGCTGGTGGTACTTCCCAAGTAAGTGAAGCGGTCAACGTGGTCTACCACTTCACTTCCTATTTTTAAACTAGGCGTCGATGTAGCCCAGTCCTTAGATGACATCAGTTAGAGAACCACTGGAAAACCAGCTGGGAGTACTGGACAGCCAGCTGTTTTGTCCTAGTTTGGGACTGATGTCATCTCATGATGAAATCCTCCATCCAATCAAACAAAATCCCTACGAAAGACCAATACTTGAAAATTAATCTGATGCTCACTGGCGACTGGCCCTATTCATCAGACAGTGACCTGGGCTTCTAGTGGGAAGCCGTGACTAGTAGGGTACCGCAGGTTGGAGATGAGGCAGTAACCCATCAAAGAAGACATTGCGAAGTGATAGCGCTATATCATGAATTGGCAGAATTTAGAATTCAGGGGTTGGCCATTGGGTGAGGTCTAAGTAGATTAATGGTCTACGAGCTGGTTCACCTTGTAACCAGAAGCTCCTGGGTTCGAACCTCGGTGGGTGCGTACACTATATTATGTATGACACCAACAGTCTGTTTTCGACATAGAACTTTGCACATATGTGCACCAGCTCAAGTCGCCACACTCCCTCCTTGTAGCACACAAACTAGGAGAACAAAGTAGAAGAAATGCATAATACAGACAGTAAACAGAGGTATGAGACAAAAGGAATAGTAATAACGAAGAACAATGTAGTTCCATCGGAAATCATAAGTCACAAGGAGTGGATGCATCCGCATCAGTCATTGCCGAAAACGATTTTGAGCCAGCCATGTTACCAATTGTTTCCAACCATTGGTGTTTACCGTCCCGAGGAACCCAACCAGCCAACCAGGAAGTCTACACCTTCCTACATGGCTGGGCGGCTTAAACTAACTGTTGTGGATTTCATTGACTGGGTAGGCCATGTTTCGGTTTGACCGCCGCTAGCTGGCTCTTTTCCAGCCTGACCCATCCTATGTCAGCAGCTAACATTGCCCGTCATTTGAGGAAGGCGATGACTAGGCATGCTTACGTAACACATGTCCTAACCATCTCTCTCAGTCGATGTAATTTCACAGCCTTGTCGACTGACTTCCCCTCTCACCTACTTACCTAGCACTCGACCTATGCCTAACCTCAATATTCCTCACTTTATTATACCACTTAACACAAACGGGAGATAGAACGCAGGCACCTATCATCAAAGACAGCTAATCTTTTCATGTCTTCCACTTTCAATGGCCAGGTCTCGCTCACAGCCATAAAGGAGGACGCCAGAGTTGGCGTAGACGTAGACGTATGACACCACCTGTTACGTAACAACTTTCTGTGTGTATAATTTTAATAATTCAATGAGTAAGAATACTTGGGTAAACAACAACAACATATGAAGTGAAGACGGCTAGTCAAAAAAACTCACCGCAAGTAATTTAGGTGTATTTTCATTCATCTCACCATTCATAACTAACTTCTTCTTTATCACGTCGTCATCATCACCGTCACCGCCATCATCAACATTTCCGTTTTGATCACGGTCACCACCATCACCACCACCATCAACATCATCAAACATATCGTCATCATCTAATATAATTGTCGTTTGATGATTTTCAACATTCTCCACTTGTAGATGATCATTAACAACAATCGGCAGAGTAGATTTTGGTGAACCGACAATAGTTACATCACTGTCATCACCACCACCACCACCGTGTTGCTGTTCTTGTTGTTGTTGCTGCTGCCCTACTTGTTGTGTTTGTGATGATGGCAACATTGATTTTGTGCATGCAGCTGCTCGTACAATAGCCCGTAAATCATTCTGTCGACCGTGTGAAGTTGCAACACGCACTACTAGTCCACGTAAATGCTCCATTAATGGTTTTGGATCTAATGTGATTGTCTTTGTAATATTATACGTCTTATATATTCCAACTAATCGATCCGATAATTCAAACATATTATTTCGCAAAGAGATCACTATAAATTGGGCATTTTTTGTACGCTCTTTCAAGTAATTTCCAACAATAGAAACATTTTTAAAATCTAATGCAGCATCAATTTCATCCATAACATACAATGGAGTTGGTTTATAATGATGTAAGGCAAAGACTAAAGCTAAACTTGACAGTGTTTTTTCACCACCTGAAAGATTTGCTATATTTTTCCAAGATTTTTTCGGTGGACGTACACTGAATACAATACCTTCGGAGAATGGATCCAGTGAGTCGATTAATTCTAGTTCTGCATCACCACCTATAAATATATAAAAACGCGAATTCAAAATGTTGAATATCAATATTAAAGCAAAATAAACAAATACAAGAAATTAAATTAAATTTTAGATTTTCTCGTCGATTGGACCGAAGTGCTCGCTCTCAGGTTGACATGTCGACTGCTTGTGCAAAACCTTCGACAATGTCTGAGCATGTAATTAGAACTTAACTGGTGGATGGTGACTAGCAGTGGAATCCAGGATAAAGTGCATTTCGTCCTACTCGGGACTTGTCAGATTGATGTACCTGTATTCCGCAGTGAGTGATGATGTTCCCATGATGGGAGGATCTACAATTGAATTAAATAATTAATATGACCCGTTCCACAAGAGGTGGTGATTCTCGTCACCTAAGTGGTTTGGCGGATAATGCTTTGGTGTTTGAAACTACGGGGTCACTGGGTTCGAGCCTCGGTGGGAACATAATCACCCACTGGGGAATGCAGGTACATCCAGTGGCTGACGAGTCCCAAATAGGATTCCACAGCTAGTCACCATCCACCAATTACATACAAGAAATATATAAATATTCAACTCTAACGTAGATTAACATTAACCTGAATTCACAATTCGATGAGGGGCATTAGGAATTTTTAGTCAAATTGCTTTTCTCTACTATGCAATAATCATTTTCCTTTTCAAATCAGACTTCTACGTCTTTCTCTCTGTGTGTATGCGTGAAAAGCTCTCCAGTGATCAGTTGCATCCAGTTGTGTACTAAAGTAACGCAGTAAGATATACACCCCCCACTATTATCACGCATTTCTGGAGACAGAGACGGAATTCGAACCCCACTATGTTTAGATCACACCTACTATGAATTTGGTGAGTCCATTCCCATTCCACCTGCTTTCACATATCCCCAGTGCTTCAATTCTATATCTTTTCACCTCGTTTGCAATCTGGGTAGCTTTGCCAATTTCGTACATGGCGCGAACGTGCCATGTCCCCACAAAGACTTTATCTTTAGGTGCAAGGAGATTCGTCTTGCTGAAGATTCTGTAGCAACTTTGTTTACAGGGTGGGGTTGCTAGCCTCACGCCTGAGAAAGGGATTGTTACATCAAAATATAGTTTACAGAGGAGCGACCTTGTGGGTTGCTCCCCTGAAAAACAGGAAAACAAGGAGTGAAGAAATCAGAACAACACCAGCAAAAGGAAAATAATTCACAATCAGGAATAGCAGCGACAACAACAAAAAAAAATAACCTTAGCAGTATTATCACAGTCAGATACAGTTAACAAAAATGATACCAAAATCATAGACTCATTGACTTGAGCAAACTTGGACATGTAAATCCATCAATATATATACAATTATAGATATTAGTTAGTGTTAGACAGTCACAAAATGGTAAGCAGATATTTATAGGTATTATCGGTCAACAAGATGATATCCACAGATTCAGTGTTCGAAAGGAGAATAATTACAATTTGTTCCACAAATTTTCGGCAAGAAACTCCACAGAAATAAGAGTTTTATGTAGCTGAGTAAATGTAGCGTGACAGTCGAAAAGCCATTCTATGTATACATATAAATATATATAATGCTAATTTTTTCCTTCACGTTCCCAGTGGAACAGAGGGCTTCAGGCTAGTGGCTTATTGTTTCTGTAGCAGTGTTTATTTTTACAGGATGGGGTTGCTAGCCTCATGCCCAACCTTTCCTCTTTACTAGCATTATTTCTGGTTTAGCGAGGTGAAGGAGTGCGTCAGTGGCCGGGGATCGAACCCAGGACCATGTGCATGGTCGGCGAGCATCCTAACCGCTGTGCCACCGACGCATTATATATATATATATATATATAATTGTACAGCCAGAAGGGGAAATTATCGAAAAGGATATTCTTTCCTGAATTTTTTCCTAGATGTCAGAATGAATATTTTCGCTATATTGAAATCTTTTAAAATAAATGAAAAGCACTACACACGAGATAACACTACATACACAACGAAAAGTCTAAGTGAATACAACAATAAGCTGACACACACACACAGATTCCACACCTTCCTTCCCTCTCCACTTATCGACCTACCTTGTGTAATCATTTGATACATTTCTTTCAATTTACTTGTAATTGTATGAAAACCATCCAAGAATTCAGTTAGTCGTTTTGATTTCGCCTCCTCCATATATTTACGTTGTTCACCGAGTATACCGGTGATACGATTCAGCTCACTGACACGTTGCAAATAATTTTGTGCCTTACGACGATATTCTTCAATAGCTGTCATATTAGGCGTCATAGAGGCGATTTTCTCTTCCAAGTGTTTCATTTCATTTGAATCAACAGAAATTTCTAGAATATTAAAAGAGACACAGTGGGAGAGAAAATATATGTATCATAAAGCACAAAATAAATAAACAATGGAGAAAATTGCAACGTTTAAGCAACTTGACAATCCCCCACCCCCACTCCCATTGAGTTATATAACAGGAAGAGAAATTCAGTGAATTGTAAATTTTAGAGAATAGATTACGTAATGTAGAAACCTTCCTTCAGGTTGAACTTCGAATAACGTTGTCTACAAAACTAATGTAACACACGAACTTGAAGGAAAAGAGCCTATACAAGCGAAAACCAACAAACTGGTCGAAGAAGCAGTCGGCGAAGACAGGATTCCAGGTGAACATAGGCAAGACGGAGGTTATGAAAATAACCAACCAACGACAACAGCAGCAACATCCAGCGTCAATCACCATCAACGGGAGGGATTTGAAAGAGGTTGCTTCATTCACTAATCTGGCTAGGCAGCATTGTCTCAACTACAGGAAGAACCGACGAAGATGTCAAATCGAGAATTAGGAAGGCGAGAAACACAATCATCAACCTGAAACCAATCTGGAAATCTTCGTCACTCAGCCAGCATCAACAACAAAATTCAGTCGGATTTTCAATACAAACAACGTCAAGTCAGTCAGTTCTTCTATGCGGATCAGAAACTTGGCGGATGGTCACAAAGAATATTTCCAACAGCCAGTTGTAGACCTATATCAACAACTGTCAACTATCGCTCTATACTGAAGATCAGGTGACCGGGCCGGAAAGAATCACTAACAAGAAACTACGGGAACAAATTGAACAAGAACCAATCGCCAACCAACAAATATGCAGGAGAAAGTGTAGATAGATTGAACACTCGCTGAGGAGGCCGCTCGCTGGGTGACGTCACGCTTGTCAGGCCATTGCTTGGGTGGAACCCGAAAGAAAAGCGGCGAGTGGGACGTCAGTACAAGGGTGACATGGAGGAGATCGTGTGAAGAGGAGTCGAAACAGTATGGACTAACATGGATGCAGATGAAAAGTACAGCAGAAGACAGAAGCAAGTGGAGACGTGCAGTTGAAGCCCTATGTTCCACTAGGAACCCAAGGGAACAATAATAATAATAATAAACTGTTGGCCTCATCAATGTGTATCTACCAATTCACATGCTAGTATGAAGTTAGTTAAGTATGTCAGTTGTAGCCAGAGTTTCCGATCCAAATGTATCATTGAATACTTATCCGCAGTCATGGTTTTATAGAGGACTGACTGACTGACTGACTGCTTTCAACATAGAACTTTGCACCGATGTGCAACAGTTCGACCTGGCACTCTCCCTCCATGTAGCACACAAAGCAAGAGAAGTCAGTAGAGAGACATTCATCAAAAGAAGGATAATAAACAGAAGCATGAGGCGAATCGGATAGTAATATGGAAGAGTAATAGAATTTTATTGGATGTGAATGCACCTGCGCTAGCCATCATCAAGAACGATTTTGAGCCAAAACACCAATTGTCCTCAGGCTTCATTGGTTTTTACCATCCAGAGGACCCCAACCAAGAAGCCACTTCCTTACATGGCTGGCTAGCTGGTTGGCTTAAAAGAACTGTTGTGGATTCCATTGATTGATGAAGCCATGCTTTGGTTTGATCACAAGCCACTAGCTTTTTTGCAAACAACCTGATCCATCCAACTCCTGTGCATCCATCCATCCACTCAGTAAGCCACCAGTGATCTGGCGATCGCCATTTAGATTATAGTTCCATTGCTCCCCAGTTTAAAGTAATTCCCTAATTACAACATGTTGGTTTAAGACAGAATCGAAGCTGGAAGGAACCCAAATCGATGTAAAAACTTAAAATGTGAATATTCCACAATTTGAAAATACGCACATAGTCATCACAAAAGAACAATTAGAAAAGGTAGAAATGTGATGGAGAAAAGAGTAATGTGGGAAAAAATAAACATTTAAGGCGTATAAGAGATCACTGGGAGTAAATGCTGAAGCCCTATGATGTTCCACTCGGAACGGAACCCAAGGGAATAAAAATATAATAATTGCTGAATTTTATTGACTGACTTGGAATTTGAATTTTCTTGTCATGTAATAATTTACTTTTCACTTGCATTTCAAACTAGAACCTCCGCTGAAGATGAGGACAAAAGCTTCGCCAATAAATAATCAAGCAGCTCAGAGAACACAAACTAAGTCAAAATCATCCATCTTAGGCTAAAATTCTTCACAATTATTTCAAAACCACATTGAATTTTGAACACCAAGAATAATTCAGACCATAATTCACATTAAAAACACGTTAATTAATTAAGTGACACAGAATTTATTTGGAATGTAAGTCGTCTTATGTTTTATGATCACTACCTATATCACAGAGTACAGGATATACCAAAACGACGTGAAGACTGACTACGCTCACTGCACACACACACACACACACACACACAGATACGCAATTGCGAAGGTAGAGAAAATATATCCTTGAAAGGAGAAATAAAATGCATTATGGTGTCTATTTATGCTATTGGAATGCCACACTTCATTGTACACACTTGGTTCTCTCTACTTAAGACTACACACACAATACAACACAATAACTAATGTGACTAGTTATTTAGTAAATGAACGTAATCTGGCCAGTTCTATCAATCATGATATAGAACGTCTAGTTAACGTGTGTTGACACAGGTTAGGAGAACTTTGTGACGGATTGTTGCTCACGGTCAACAAATGTCATCACTACTACTCCTACTACTAACCAAAACATTGAAAACAACTATTGAAAAACTTGCACTGAAGATAAAGAATCTGCAGCATGGTCAATTTCAGTTTCAATGTTGTTTTTTCCTTCACGTTCTCAGTGGAACAGAGGGCTTTAAGCTTGAGGCTTGAAGTTTCTGTACCAGTGTTTATTTTTACAGGATGGGGTTGCTAACCTCAAGCCCAACCTTTCCTCTTTACCAGGATTATTCCCGGCTTGGAGAGGTAACGGAGTGCGTTGGTGGCTGGGGATCGAATCCCGGACCATGTCCATGGTCGGCGAGCGTCCTAACCGCTGTGCCACCGACGCACAATGTAGGTTGTCATTATCATCGGCTTAATGGGATACGAGCATGCCCTGTAACCAGAAGGTCCTGGGTTCTAACCCCGGTGAATGCTTGCTGATGAAGAGTGCCAAACTGTGCTGACGAAACAGCTATCCAGTACTCCCAGGTTTTCCAATGGTTCTCTAACCAATGGTCAGCTCATGATGAAATTCTGTAATCATCGATATTAGTTAGGGGAAGGCTTGAAAACAGAGGATTTCTAGGCAGCTGTTTTGTCCTGTTTTGGAACTCTTCAACAGTACAACACAAGATCATTCAACAGCTGTGTGATGATGTCACATACAATTCCATTGATTTACAACGGAAAGCTAAGCGAAGTCATTGAAGTGAAGATAGAAGTAAGACAGTACGCTACTGCGTCTATTATCATTGACGATAATCCCGATTATTGAGGACTGGATTATGCGATAAACGGTGGGGAAGCGAGAAAAAGACAAGAACATGTTTAGGCTGACAAAAAGACTTTATAAGATATGAACTTCACCGACAATTTATGTCTAATATCACAAAAGCCGAAAATCTACAGGCGAAGACAGGACTTCAAGTGAACATAAAGAACACATAGGTGATGAAGAGACCTGGTGACCAACAACAATGAAAAGAAGCACCAATTACTACCAACAAGGGAAATCTAGATGATGTCACCTATTTTATTTACCAAAGAAGCATCGTTTCAACCACAGGAGGACGGAACTGACGAGGATATCAAAGCAAGGATGGAGAAAGCAAGGCAAGCTTTCATTTCTCTCAAGTCTGTGTGGAGATCAACAGCACACTACTCAGTGTGAAAAATAAGATCCGGATTTTCAACTCCAATGTGAAGTCAGTGCTACCTACTATAAGACTACTAAGACTTGCACTGCGCGTCATAAAGAGCACCTCAAACAAACTACAGACCTTCATTAACAGCTGTCTTCGCTCAATACCATTAAAGATCAGATGGTCGGCCAGAAAAGATCAACAACATGGATCTCTGGGAGCGAAGCAACCAGGAAACCATTGTACAACAAATGATTTTCTTTTATTATAGCTTGATTCCACACCGTAGCTTTGATATAAGTATGGAATTTTCAGAATGTGATATCGCTAGCCCAAATTTTGCAGGCCGACCATTGATATTGGATATGCGTCGGCAGGGGATCGAACCCCGGACCATGTGCATGGTCGGCGAGAGTCCTAATCGCTGTGCCACCAATGCAATTGGGAAGAAATGCATATAGATTGGCCATACTCTGAGGAAACCATCAAGTGACATCACAAGGCAGGCCATTGCTCGAGTGGAACGCGAATGGTAAGCGGCGAGTTGGTCGGCAGTGCCAGGGTGATATGGAGGAGGTATGTCAAGAGGAGATGAAAGCATGTGGGCAGACGTGGAGCCACGTGAAACCGTTGGCAGAGAACCGAACGCAGCGGAGACGTGCGGCTGAAGCCCTATGTTCCTCCAGGAACTAAGGGAAATAATAATAAAAAGAAGAAGCATCGTTACAACTGCAGACTGCACAGATGAGAGTACTAAAGCCAGTTAGGATCGGAAAATAATCAACACGAACATACACTACTCTGAAATCAGTTTCGAAATCTGCTGTAATTATCATAAGTAACACGATCCCGATTTTCAAGGTTAATGTCATCAAGTAAGTGTCACCGGGATCAAATGCTTAGTGTCTAACACCAAAAGGATTAAACAACATTCTGCTGCAGACTTTCACCACCACCAACAACAACTGAGTCCTTCGGTTGAAAATGAATATCACATGATCGATCGGGAAGGAGAAAAAAATGAATTTATCACCCAAAAAGTATACAGAAGAGGATGGAAATGTATTAAACATATGCTGAGGAGGAAATCGTTGATGTAAGAAGCATGGGAAAGACCATTGAGTGAAAGTTGAATGGAAAACGACGAGTCAGGGGTATGGTTCCAAGGGCGATTTGGAGGAGATTGTTAGAGGAGAACATGAAAGTTTATGTGCAATCGTAGAGCCAAGTAGTAAAAGGACCACAGAGGACGACATAAAATGGAAATGGGCTGTTACAGCCATAAGTTCCACTCAGAAACCAAGGAAAAAATAATATTATCCATACTTTGGTTTGTAAGCGTTAGTTTTGTTTTTACGAGTTGATCACAGATTCATATCAGTTAGAGAACCATTGAAAACCAACAGGGAGTACTGGACAGCCAGATGTTTCATCTTAGTTTTGGGAATCATCGTCAGTACGCACCCATCACCAGGGTTCGAACCCAGGACCCTCCTGTTACAAAGCAAGCTCATATACCATTCATTCAGCCACTGGGAGCCGATTCAATGACCAGTCTATGAATTCTAACTTCGACCAATTCGTGATTTAGTGCAACCCCAACCATTGTTGTAGGTTGGACATACATCCTCACACAGGACATCTGGATGGACCTCGCTGGTCACGACTTTTCACCAGAAGAACTCCAGGAAACTCCATCTTGTAGCAAGTCACTAGCGAATATCAGATTAATTTTCTATAGTTTGATTTGTAAGGGTTCTCTAATCGATATTAATCCGTGATCAACTCGGAATTTAAAAAAATAATACTCTTACCTTGTAATTCTTCATCTGTATATTTAGGAAGAACCCTCTTTTTCATATCCAATGATTTCTTGTTAGCCTCTGGTTTGATTATTGACGCTTGTTCCTGTTGTTGTTGTTTTTCCGGATCATCATCATTACCTGTCATTTGAACATCAATGCTAGTTGCTGGCTGGGAAATATCCTCAGGAGCTGAGGTGGATGCACCATCACCTTGACCGTTGGGAACACTATTTTCCATCTTCTTCATCTTCGTCTTCATCATCGTCATCGTCAATAAAATGCAGTCGAAGACGTTTAATCTCTTTCTCCCAATGAAGAGCATTTGTAGTCGCTTGAGATAATTCACCTTCAAATTGACTGACTAATCGACGTGCTGCAGCTTCTGATTTCTGGGCTGTGGCTAAATCATTTTCTGAGCTAGTTAAAAGAGAGAGATTCTCTTCTTTCATTTTTTGTAATTCTTCAATCTGTTAACGAGAACAGAGAGAGAGAGAAAATAGGCGTAAAATCGATAAATCGCAAATAGAAAAAAAGGATCATTTCAATTTGAATGGCGTGTTGTGAACTAACATACCGGTTAGTTAGTTAGTAAACTACTGAAAACCAACTAGTTGGTATTGCACACCCACGATTCCAACAAGGATCCAACTCGAGACCAAGGGGGGCGTTGACTGATTCAGCCAACTCACGTTCGACTCACTCTCAATAACCTGTGATTTCTAACTTCTGTCAGTTTGTGATATACAGCTACCGCCGTCAACTAATGTCTACTCTACGATGAAGCAACCACTTCCACTTTGACATAGAGATGAAACTCACGGATACAAAAAGGCTACTGTGACATACTGCATACTCCAATCTACGTAACCTCTGGCTTAGACGTGATATCCGGTTGGCTATCGATCAAAGGATGTGTATACTGATCACCAGTTCGCTCCGTCCTCCTCCTCCTCCTGCTCCTTTATGGCTGTAAGGCAGACAATGGTCATCCAAATTGGAAGACATGAAAAGCCAGGTTAACTGGCTGGTCTTTGATCATAGGTGTCTGCGTTCTATCTCCTGCATTAGGTGGTATAATAGGGTGAGTAATACTGAGGTGAGGGATCAGTCGAATGCTACGTAGGTAGGTGGAACGAAAAATCAATCGACGAGGTTGTGAATTTACATCGACTGAAAGTCTTGGTTAGGACATGTATTACGCATGCATGCAACGGGGAATGTTAGTTGACACTGCTGATGGTATGATAGAGAAGATTTGTAGCTCAGGTGGATGATTTTGATGTTGTTTTGTTCTCTTAGCTGGATAGTTAGTTTGCGAAGCTTTCATCACCCAGCTATTGGTTCTTATTGATCTCGAGGACCCCAACTAGTCAGGAAGTCTACATCTCCTTACATGGCTGGTTGGCTTACATCAGCTGTTATCGATTTCATTGACTTCAAATTGAAGTATGCGCTGAAGATGTCACCTAGTAGGGTGATGAAAGCTTCGCAAACTAACTATCCAGCTAAGAGAACAAAATCACATCAAAACTGCTGATGGTTAGGGTTGTTGAAAAAGAGCAAATTAGTTGGTAGTCAAACCAAAGCATGGCTTCATTAGTCAATGAAATCGATAACAGCTGATGTAAGCCAACCAGCCATGTAAGGAGGTGTAGACTTCCTGACTAGTTGGGGTCCTCGAGATCAATAAGAACCAATAGCTGGAGAAAATAGGTGACATAGCTCAAAATCGTTCTCTGTGATCTCTCTCGTATCCATTAAACTACCTATTGTTATTCCATGCTAGAATTCTTTTCCCCTCACATTTCTGTATATTACCGCTCTTTCGATTCTCGTTTGTCTTTTTTTTGTTTAGGGCACTAGAGTGTAGCAACTTGAAAGACTGCAGTTCTGTACGACCAACCAAACCACCCTCAAAATAGGCAGTCTACACCAAAGAAAGTCAGCGTGATTCAAACCAACGGTTAAAGAAAAGAAACCATAGGATAGTTAATAGCATATTTCTATTTTATTCAAGACATTCGGATGAATCAATTTAAATGTCACTTAGAAATAAATGATGGGGAAGATTCGTACTTGTTCCATAGGATGATGCATTCAGTGTTGTTTTTATTTCCTGAGTTGAAGGGTTTATTTCGCAAAGCTTTCATTGTTTGTCGAGAAATCGTCACATTTTCAGAGTTAACTTTATTATGAAATGATAGCTGCCGGCCGAAAAGGATAAACAACAACAAGGGATATGGGAACAGTCAGGAGTGGGTCAGAGGGTGTTGGAGACAGTCAATCAAGTAGGAAGTCTTGGACCGTGATTTCCTGGTTGTTGACAATCACCATCAGTCAGTCAGTCAGCCAGTCAGCAAGGCGTATTATCCACAATCTTAAGGGGACTCATATCACTCCCACCCTCGAGATTCGAGTCCCGACCATCCGATGCAGTAGAGAGAGAAGTAACCACCACTGAGCTCCTGGGGCTCACACGCCTAACCTCCTGTAGGAAACTGTAATGAATAGGTTCATTGCAAACTCTTTGGTGTTAAATGCAGATTGAATTCTATTCACAGCACAAGTTTACAATATGACCGCAGCATGCCAGGCGGCTCGCCATAAGGGTACACACACTCTGAATTGTTGTCATTCAATGGTTGGAGACAATCGGCAGAGAGCATCTTCCTCAATGGCTGCCGCTATAAGGTTTCGTGATTGTTGGCGTCTAGCATGGTAGCCATATTGCATAACAAATCTGACTGACAACAGTTCAGTTTGTACCAACAACCGATGGGGAGGGCTATAGACGACGCATGGCATAGCTTACCTACCAAGTGTCCAATGCTGAAAGATCGCGTAGCTCCATTATGGAAAAAAATTTTGTTTTGATAAAATCACTGTGTTATATATAGTAATATTTACTGATGAAGGCGTTTCGAGTACAATTTATTGCTGCTCATAATCATATCAATGCACTACTCACACAACTTTCTTGCTACATTTATATACATGATTAGACGTTTGAATAAAATCAATATAAGATTGTCGTAAAACAGAAAGCAAGATAAAGTACATTCGGAAACAATACTAGTGTTATCAGTAATTATAATACGATGACAAATAAGACGAGTGTTGTTACTCAATAAGATGTTTTTTATAGTAAAATAAATTATTAACTTGTTAGAATATTATAATGTGCATTGGACTGAAATACATTTTAACATTATTTATCATGGAAACCATCAAGTGACATCACTAGACAAGCCATCGCTTGATTGGAACCCGAAAGGAAAGCGGCGAGTTGGTCGCCCAAGGATGATTTGGAGGAGGATATGTGAAGAGAAGATGAAACCATGTGGGCAGACTTGGAGCCAGGTGAAAACTCTAGCAGAGAACCGAACGCAATGGAGACGCGCAGCTGAAGCCCTATGTTCCTCTAGGAATTAAAGGATATAATAATAATAATAATAATAATATAATAATAATTATTATTTATGATCCTGTGATTTGACTGGTGGTAATAATATATTCCATACATTTTTTGGTACTTGTGTTGAGTCACTTTTCTATTGCATGTGGTCGACGTAGACTCGATGAATCGGGATTCAGTAATCATCCACCTCTCTCTGTCACCACCTACCCCATATAACATTTTAGAATTTCGACTCTGTCCCACTCACTCTATCGTGTGTTTCTGTTTTAATGCGTGCAGTGCTGTAGCTGAGTTTCTCTCTAAATAACCTATTTTCGCCGAGGTCAGTAATTCCACACTTAACTAAATTCGCATATTCTCATTTCATTTTATATGTCTCTAGTAAATTTTTACTCATGTATATAAACGCAGCAAGAAAGTTGTGTGTGTAATGCCTTGATATGATGACGATGAGCAGTGATAAATTGTGCTCAAAATGTGGTTACAATCAGCAAATATTACTTACTGTATAACACCACTCCGTGACTTTATTAAAAATAAAATTTTATCCATAATGGAATTATACTCCACCACAACAGTGCCCACGTTTTATACTTATTTTCAAGTATTGGCTTTTCTGTACGGCGTTTAGTCTGGAAGATTCCATCATCGGCTGACATCAGTTAAAGAACCATTGGAAAACCAGGAAGTACTGGACACCCGATGTTTCGTCCTAATTCGAGACTCTTTATCAGTATGCACCCACCCATCTTCCAACCAATCAAACTAAATCCCAACAAAACACCAATACTTGAGAATTGACCCAGTGCCGCCCACTAGCAACTGGCCTTATTCAGACAGTGACCTGGGCTCCTAGTAGGAAGACGTGACCAGTAGAGTGCAGCAACTCAACGAAGAAGATATTACGAAGTGGTCACGCTACACGCTATGTCATGAATTGTCAGAAATTAGACCACTGAATCAGATCACAGTGGCTTAATGGTCTACTAGAGCTCAATAGCCTTGTAACTAGAATCTCCTGGGTTCGAACCCTGCGAGCTGGTGAAGAGTCCCAAACTGGGACGAAACAGCCGACTACTGTCCAGTACTCTCAGGCATTAATACTTATATCAAAGATAGCGCGTGGACCTGACATGACATGAAATGTCACAGCTGAAATTAATGTTAGCGAATCAAATGCAATAATTTAAAAAGAAAAAGTAAATTTGCTGTCAAAGCTCCTCTATGCTTCAAATATACAGGGGGAGAGGGGGGAAGTAACTAAAAACAATGTGAATTTTATACAAGCAATAAAAAAAGAAAAATAATTACTCACCTCAGCTTGAATTTTTTGTGTTTCGTCGAAACAGGCCAAAGCATCTTTCTCCAGATGTTTAAGTCTTACTTGAATATCAGATAATTTTTCTGTCAACACTTCTAATTCATGATTCATATTTTTTAATTTATTCTCAGCTTTTTGTATATTACGTGTTGCCGTCTTTAAATTAACTTCCAACTTTGTCAATTCATCATTGGACTGTTGAAAGTGTGTTGTTTTTTTAACAAAAAGGAGGAATAATAAGTTATTATTATTATTATTATTATTATTATAAGGAAAGGAATTTTCAGCGTTTTTATACATATTACAAAATTTGGATAGTGCTGTGATTAGAAGACGGAGATTATCTCTGAAAAACAATGTGGGATGTATTTGACCTATACATTTCAAACAAACTGATGATGCCTCACACATTTACTTGTCAAGTCGACATATATATATATATGAAAAAATTTAATTATTATTTTATCCTTTAATTCCTAGAGGAACATAGGGCTTGACAGCTGCGCGTCTCCATTGCCTTCTGTCTTCTGCCAATCATATGTACCCACATGATGTGTGTTTAGTTTCTGACAGTCTATTATATTTTGCTGTGTATATGGATCGATATTCCATTATAATTGACATTATGCTTTTGTCTGTCCACTAACGAAATAAACAATGTATGACCTTATTATCACATGACATTACAACCAATCCTGGTAAGACGTTATCTTATTGGTTCATATGTATTAGCCATTTTCATATATACTCTTGCTTTATAATTCTTGTTCCCACATTTCGTACATCTAAGTACCCTTTCACTAACACTCTTGTGTGACATTTATTTTCCTTGTCTGGAAAATACAAGTATCATCGTAAACCTCGTGGTCTTCTGATTCCCCCCCCCCTATTTCCGCGTCAGGACTATTAACTACTGGTCGAGTACGTAACAGCCAACTTTTTCACTCCGCTCCAAGTCTGTCCACATGCTTTCATCTCCTCTTCACATGACCTCCTCCAAGTCACCCGTACACTGATGATCAACTCACCGCTTCCCTCGAGGACTTGTCCTCAGAATATGGCCAATCCATCCCCATGTATTCCTATCTATTTCTTGCACAATTGGTTCCTGATTGATTCGCTCATTGCCACACATCCCTGTTGCTGATTTTTTCTGACAGGCCATCTGATCTTGAGTGGCATTGAGCGAAGACAACTGTTAATGAAGGTCTGAAGTTTGTTTGAGATGCTCTTTATAACGCCCAGTGAAAGTCTTTGATCCGTAAAGTAGAACTGACTTCACATTGCAGTTGAAAATCTGGATCTTATATTTGTTTTGATGCTGAGTGCTGTTGACCTTCACGCAGACTTAAGGGTAATGAAAGCCTGTCTTGCTTTTCCGATTCTGACTTTGATATCTTCGTCATTTCCGTCGGCCTGTAGTAAACAGCCTTGCCTCACTCCCGTCCTCACTTCGAAGGCTTCCGTAAGCTTCCCGTTGGGGATTACTTGGCATGCAGTATTGTCGTATAACTGTTGGATGAGATGTATAATTGTCGATGGCACCCCGTAGTAGCGAAAAAGTTGCTAAATCACCTTTCGATCGATGCTGTCTGTCAAAGGCCTTTTCAAAGTCGATGAAGTTGAGATAGAGAGGTGACTGCCATTCCAAGCTTTGTTCAATGATGATCCGTAGTGTGCCGATTTGATCAATGCATGACTTGTTTATCCTGAATCCAGCTTGTTCCGGTGGAAGTTTCGCAATTAAATTAATCAAAGTGACTAAACAAAGATTTAAGAATGATTAATTAACACAACGTTTTGGTAATCCAATCAAATAAGGATTACCAAAGTAGGTAGGTTAAGAATAAATTATTTTTTTGAATACACTGGGGTAGGCGGTGTGGGGGTTAAAGTTTATGAATAGCTATAGCGTCAGCGTAGTTCAATAAGCACTCTTGACCGTTTTTATAGATGACCTTAAAGGCTGAGTTAACAACATCAATCTTATGGATTATCTCGATTTGATGTTTAGCTATAGACGAATTCGGTAGTCTGACACCTGCATATCTATTGTTTTTTTCACAATTGATTTGTTTTTCTAATCATTTCAAGATATGCTCTCCATCCTCCCTATGTATGTGTGTCCAAACACACACACACACACACACGAAATTTGGTAAATGGTGTAGGATGTGACATAATCACTTGTGCACTTTTGAGGTTTGCAGTGAAGCATATTTTTAGCTTTTTCGATAACTACAAACTGGGCTGCATAAAACACGTTCTACGGATGATCGAATTCAACCTTTGTCGCAAAATCCTACTGTTTATTTCCCCCTAATATGGTTAATTTGAGGAAAGCATCTGTCTTAGGGGCGGTGTAACTATTTAACTCCTTTTATAAATATGCGTGAAATACACATGAAATGCAAAGAAAAAATAATAATAAAACCAAAAAAATTGAAGGATGGTGGAAACATATCGAAGTTTAAGTAGAAAGTATCACAGATGATAGGATAATAATCGTTGCTTATACTCTGCAGTTCAGTTACTCGTTTATTAAAGTTTATAACTCCCGATCTGACATTTGTCTCTCTTTCTGCACACTAAACCCGTGATAGACAGCTCAACAGACGTATTATTATTAATGAGCATCCTCTCTCCCTCACGGTTTGGAAAAAGCCAAGTAAAACCTATAAGAAGTTCTATTTTGACTCGTTTGATTGATGACAGCAGTCGACAAGTAATAAGGACGAAGAAGCGCCTTCAAAGTTATCTACCGCATACCATTGAAACTTCAGAACGGAATTCGAACCCCTCCCCCCACCCACCGCCTTCGACACAAAGCTGAAGCCATGGGAATTAATTCAAGAGAACAATCCTTTTGTCTTTGCATACAACAAAAAGAAGTTTATACTGCCTTTGTCTCTCCATTGGCCTAGTTAAACTGTAATTAAAACCCTCCCCCACCCTTTCTTATTTTTCATTTCCTTCCTTCCTACTTTTATGATATTTATTTAAACTCTGATTATCTCTCTGTCCATTTCACCTTTGGTATTACGTAACTTTTAAGATTTGACCTAATTTATTTATTTGTTGAATTGTCTACATATACACATATCACTCACTACCTTCGTTATTCTTATTGCCGCCTGCATATACCTTATATTATGATTATTTTTATCATTAATAATCATCGTTATTAAATGACGTTCAAAACATTTAACACATTATTATTATTATTATCAAACTCACCGTCGTTAGCTAAATTTTATATATATATAAGTCTACGTAAATTAGAGTAAAGACTGAAGAAGATCTAATAGAAAACAAAAATATTGTTCGCTTATATGTCTTGTTCTAATATGGTATGGCAGAATTGTTATATTTAGTGGTTGTACGAGGACAAATTCTTATGAAGTTCCTTCTGGTTTCATCCCCCCCCCCCCAAGAGATACAAGGATAAAGTTGCGAATAAGAAAGAGGATGTTCGGTGTCAGGCAACAATTAAATCGCCAGTCAACCAATAACAATGTCAGTTAGTTGAGTCAAAGGCGCACACCACAAACCCTGTCTCTGCCTACAATCTTCAGTGTTCCACGTGATATGACAAAGTCTTTTTTTGAGAAGCCCAGAAAAGAATAACGGAGAACAAGAAAGAAGGTGAATGTGCAGAATACATGAATTAACAAATTGTAAGAGAAGAGGTTGAGTTGAGTTATGCCAGTAGGAAGTCTCAACTTCTTCATCTAATAGGTCAAACGAAAAATAGACTTAAAAATCAACAAGATGCGAGAAGACCAGCGGAGATTCGAAAAGAGAAACTGATGCCACTATAGGAAATATTCGATTTACTCTCTATCACACAGTGCCGTCAGTATTACAGGAATCATGCAACTGAATCAGTTCACGCAAGTCTTTTACGCATCCGAAACTAAAATCAACAATATGACACTTAGATAGATTCTGTTTAAGACCATTTAGGGTGAGACCAATTGATAACTTCAGTATACGAATCTATTCATATAAGAACAATCCAATGCAGAAACTACTAGAATAGAAACGATTAGATCATACCCCATATTTAATGAAATTAGCTTTAGAAGAATGAGGAAGGTCATGCAAACAGAAGGAAGAGTACAACGCCTTGAAGCACACCAGTTTCTGTTCGTAAAAAATGAAAGAGCCTTCCATTCAAAAAAGTATGTTGTTTTCCACTCGACGTCCACCTTGTGATTCAAGACTCAGTGTTTGCTGAAATCAGCTTGCTTAAAAAGAGGTTTTCGGTGAATGAAATTAAGGCGTAAAATAACCTTCCACAATCGACATCATTATTATATTATAAATTCGCAAAATAATAGCAATAAAAATGTACTTCAGTAGAGATATTCTGATTGGAGTATATTGGCAGTTCAGGACCAGTTTCCTGTAAGCCACTCACTATAAACGACCTGGTACAGTCGACGGTGGGTAGACTTCCGTTTTCCTCTCAAAAATGTTCTCCACCAATGTGACAACGCGTTATTCATAGCCTTTACTAGCAAGGTAGGTCATATTCACTGACTCCACACGACGCAGGTGTTCCTCATAAGAGGTTGATGTGAAAGGGTAAACGCGAACACTTCAGGCGTTTACAACTCGACTGGTGATCTACCTGGGAGAGTTAGAAAACCCTGATTCGAAACATATGGTGGTTCACAACATGCACTCCGGAATCCGAACGGATCGAATGACACGTAAATTTGTTTTTCTCACCGGAAACCATGGGAACGCAAGTGCTTCACCTTTGTGGATCAAACTTCAAGTCAAAGGTTAGGGGAAGGTGGTCCCAAAAGACTACCTATCTATCTCGGTCTGGGCTACCGAGCAGTATTTCAGCACTCTCAAAAACGTCTTATCCGCTGTGCCACCAATAGTTTAAAACCCAATGATAAGCCTTTTCGTTAGCATCCACTAGTAGTTGACTTCAAATTGCATGACCAGACATCGTCGAACTATCTGCAAAAAAGCAGGTCGACTTGTCAACCTCTGACTGAGCACTTCGATCCAATCAGTTGACGGGAAATCTAAATTGCTTTCAATAATAAAACCTGTTGCACAAGAGATGGCTCTCGTGGTCTAGTGGATAACGCTTTGGCATTCGAAAATACGGAGGCACTAGGTCTAAGCCTCGGTGGGAACACCATTCACTACTAACTGGGGAATGCATGTAAATCCACTGGCTGATGAATCCCAAATAAAACGAAATGCGCGTTATCCCGGTAGATTCTACTGGTAGTCACCATCCATTCAACAGTTGACTTCTATTGAGATTTTGTCATTATAGTTTATTAAACTAGTTAGTTTTACTACATGGTTCAAAAACTTGGCGCGTCACAAAAAGCAATTCTAACAGCTAGATTATTATATATTATTACTGTTCCCTTGGGTTCCTAGTGGAACATAGGGCTTCAACTGCACGTTTCCACTTGCTTCTGTCTTCTGCTGTACTTTTCACCTGCATCCATGTTAGTCCATACTGTTCCAGCGCCTCTTCACACGATCTCGACTGGCACAGTAGTAAGGACACTCGCCGACCATGCACATGGTCCGGGGTTCGATCCCCGGCCACTAACACACTCCTTTACCTCGCAAAGTCAGAAATAATCCTGGTAAAGAGGAAAGGTTGGGTATGAGGCTAGCAACCCAATCCTGTAAAAATAAACACTACTACAGAAACTTCAAGCCGATAGCTTGAAGCCTTATGTTCCAACCTCACCTAGATTACTAGCTCGCTAGTTTTCTAGCGGATAAAGAGGGAGAGTTGGGGCGTGGTGCTAACAACTACACCCCCAAAACTTAACCAAATCGCTACAGAAACTTCAATGCACAAATATATATATATATAAAATTCTAACAGCCGAATGCAGACCTTTAATCAACAGAGGTATCTTCGATCTCTACCGAAGATAGGATGACCAACCGGAAAGGAGAAAGCAACAAGGAACTCTGGGGACCAACCATTCAAACAGATACTGCCTGACAAATATACCGAAGAAGAAAATGAAGACGGATCTAAAAAAATGCTGACGACCCCGTTGAGTGACATATCACACCAGCCAGGCCCTGAAGTGGAACACGAATTGGGAGCGACAAGTTAGGCGCGGCTTCGAGAGTGACATGGAGGAGATCGTTTGGGGAGGAAGAGATGAGCTCTTATGGGCAGTTATGAAGCCAGTTAAAAAAGAGGGTTTTCTATGGTTATATTTAGTCATTGTACGATTTTAATCAAGCATGCCTGATGACTAATAACACACAGCCCAAAATAAAATGTAGTGAAGCGGTTCTACTGACCTGTTTTATTTTCTTATCCATAGCATCCATACGATTTTTTACCGCAGCAAGACGATCAGAGCCATAATTCAACAGTTCACTTTTAAGGCGTTCCAACTCTTCACGCTGACTAGTAACTTTTGCTGATTTTTCCTGTGATGTTTTATCAAGTGCTTTTATTTCTTTTTCAATTTTTTTACGTTGAGCATCCGATGGAGCCAATGACCTGGCACGTTCTTCTGCTTTAGAAATTTCATCAGATAATATTTTCGAATGGGCTAGTATTCGTGAGTATTCAGCCTATACACCAAAAATAAATAAATAAATAAAATTGAGATGAGAAACAACATGAGTTAGAGGATCGTTGGAAAACCACTATGGAGTACTGGACAACCGTTTTCCTTTTCAGTGATACGCATCCCCCACCACAGGAGGTTCGAACCTAGGACCTGCTGGTGTAACAACAGAAGACAAGGGCCAGGCAACAGATCGTTTTATTATGAAAATCAACACGTATTTATACATATTTCAGACAACATTATTATAGACAAGCGCAGTCATCTGATTGGTTGTTTAGGTAGACAAACGCAGGCTTCTGATTGGTTGCTTCGGGATTCCTTGACAAACAGAGTTCTCTATCTGCGAATCATATTTTGCCACGTTAACTTCGCTGTGATTGGTTGTTGACTCAGCCTTGTTCACGGCCCATATTAGTGACCTAGACCTTAACGTAGATTAGTGCCAACCAATCGGCTAGCAGCCTGCTCTCACCACACTCGTCCCCCCGTCAAATACGTGCGACTGAAGTCGGCTTGATCTACTTGGTGCAGGCGTCATCGTTGGCTTGTCTCGCTGTATCCATTTCTGGAGCTCGCTGACGTTCACGCGCCTCTTATTGTTCGCCATTGCGACTGTGTCTGCGTAACTCCATCTCGAAGTGACCATATATGGTCCTTCCCACTTTGGAAACTGTTTGCCTGACCCTGTCGAACATTCGTCCATACTTCGGCCCACACCTTCATATGCTGCTTTCGCCCGACCTCCCAGCAGCGTCTCAAGTAGCAGCTCCATCGCTGACAGATCTTGAACGCCACTCAACTGCGCAGAAGCCTTGAAGTCCTGCCCGAAGATCCATATGTCTCCATCAAAAACTGCAGGGTATAGGCTTTTCATTTGTCGGTAGGCAGCGACACCAAATGTAACAACAGAAGACAAGGGCCAGGCAACAGATCGTTTTATTATGAAAATCAACACGTATTTATACATATTTCAGACAACATTATTATAGACAAGCGCAGTCATCTGATTGGTTGTTTAGGTAGACAAACGCAGGCTTCTGATTGGTTGCTTCGGGATTCCTTGACAAACAGAGTTCTCTATCTGCGAATCATATTTTGCCACGTTAACTTCGCTGTGATTGGTTGTTGACTCAGCCTTGTTCACGGCCCATATTAGTGACCTAGACCTTAACGTAGATTAGTGCCAACCAATCGGCTAGCAGCCTGCTCTCACCACACTGGTAACAAGGCTAGCGAACTTGTAGACCATTATGTTGCCACTGGGACCCGATCCAATGCTCAGCCCACGAATTCTGCCACTTCTGCCAATCCTCCCCCACCAAACAAACAAAATTCCTATTAACCTAATACTTGAGAACAGAAACATTCAGAAATTGTACATACACAAACTGAACAGCTGCTGCTGCTGCGGCTTTAGAGACTGCAGTGGCAATGGAAAAAAAGTAATTCGAGAACTAGAGAGCATGTGTGGTGTATTGAGATGTTCTATGCACGTTCGACTTCCAACCACCATCAGGTGATGGGGTTCAAAGTGCCACGCATGCTATTCGCCCCCGTCAAATGTAAGATGAGGAGGCTACAGGACTGACTGGACTACATTGACTCCTAGATTAGAAATAGGGAATGAAGTGGTTGGTGGAGCGTGTTGACCACTTCACTCACTTATTTGGGAAGTACCATCAGTCAACGCCAATGGGTTAATCGATGAAGAAATCTCGGCAGCGGATACAGAGGGCTAGTTTCGCATATGCCAGTTTATGCTATCTCTGGCTTAGTAGACGTGATATCCAACTGGACTATCGAACAAACAGCGGGTGTACTGCTCAACTGTCCACTCCGTCCTCCTTTATGGCTGTGGGCGAGACCTGGCCATTGAGAGTGGAAGACATGAAAAGGCTAGCTGGCTGTCTTTGATGATAGGTGCCTGCGTTCTTTCTCCCGTGTGTGTTAAGTGGTATAATAAGGCGAGGAATATTGAGGTTAGGCATAGGTCGAGTGCTAGGTAAGTAGGTGAGAGGGGAAATCAGTCGACAAGGCTGTGAAATTACATCGACTGAGAGAGATGGTTAGGACATGTGTTGCGTAAGTATGCCTAGTCATCGCCCTCCTCAACCGACGGGCAATGTTAGCTGACATAGGATGGGTCAGGCTGGAAAAGAGCCAGCTAGCGGCGGTCAAGCCAAAACATGGCCTACCCAGTCAGTGAAATCCACAACAGTTAGTTTAAGCCGCCCAGCCATGTAGGAAGGTGTAGACTTCCTGGTTGGCTGGTTGGGGTCTTCGGGACGGTAAACACCAATGGTTGGAAACAATTGGTAACATGGCTGGCTCAAAATCGTTTTCGGCGATGACTGGTGCGGATGCATCCACTCCTTGTGACTTATGATTCCCGATGAAACTGCATTGTTCTTCGTTATTACTATTCCTTTTGTCTCACACCTCTGTTTACTGTTTTCTTCTACTTTCTTCTCTTGCTGTGTGCGATATGGAGTGTGGCGACTCGAAATGCCACACTTATGTGCAAAGTTCTATGTCGAAAACAGACAGACAGACAGACCACGGATTAATATCAGTCAGTGAGCTCAACCCAGTCGGGAGGGTGGAAAAATACTCGACACAGATGGCACTGGCTGGCACCAGTCACGCTACAATTAGCAACTGGTACAAGTTGGAATTTATGAGCTGACTATTGACTCGGGTCTTATTGGCTGAATGGTTCGCGAGCTACCCTGGTAACCGAAAGGTCCCGAGTTCGAACTCCGGTGAGTTCCAAACTAGAATGAAACAGTAGGCTCTTCAGTACTACTCTCTCCCTGATGGTTTTCAATGCTTCTCTCACTGATATTAATGCATCATGAAACTAAAAATTATACATACACATATAGAAAATGGTAAAAGAGAACACGGTTTCAAACCTTTTGCATGTGAAACTTACTTCGCATCGTCTAACAGTCTGTTGAGCATCATCACGTTGATGCATCATTCGCTGTATCATCTCTTCTAATCGACCACGAGTTTCACGCAATCGATCAAGTTCACTATCACTTTTAGCTAATTCTCTTTCCAAAGTGGGAATATCTTTTGTACCATCAATTGAATTTCTTTGTCTACCACTGTCTGGTTTATAAGTGTTATCTGCATAGAATTTTCTAACATGTGCAATATCAGTCATCATTCTGCCTGAAATTGGACGACATCCACCACCTGACATAGCTCCTGAGACTTCAATAATTTGACCCTAGAAAACAGATACAAAGAAAAAAGAGCAAGTTGAAACGAACGCAATCAGACGAGAGAGAGAGAGAGGCTTTTGCAAACATGCCTGTTTTTCCAGTAGACGTATGCAGACACCTAACTGACTTACAGTGTTAAAATCATATTTATTATTATTATAAAAACAAAAACTCGGGACATTACGCGTACTAGATGATGTACATAGATTGTGTGAGCCAAGAATCTGTAATTCATAGGTGACATCGAAGCAGGAGGTTTTATTTATTTATTTAAACGCATAAAAACTTGGTACAATATGGCATCAAGAAGGATACGCCAATCAATAATAATAAAACAACATAGATCGAAAGAAAAAAAGGGAATATATAAGTAGAGAACGGATAAAGAACTTCATCTGGAAGGAAAACAGTAATACTTAACAAATTCAAACAGTATTCTTTAACTATCATCGGGAAGGGAAGAAAGAAGGAAATTCCAACACATGTAATAGCACGCGATAAGTTTCATTGATTGTTTATTGCTTTGTTCAATTCATTGTGTGAGGGCTGAGATACTGCTCGGGTGCCCAGACCGAAGCAGGTGGTTTTCTTAAGGGACCACACCCCGAGCCTTTGACTTGGAGTCTAATCCGAAAGGCAGCGGAGCAGCGTCAGGAGCTGCATTCCCATGGTTTCCGGTCACCCATATAGGTTCATACGCCATTTGATCCGATTGGATACTGGAGCCCATTTATCCCATGGTAACTGCTTTTAGTTTAACCGCTATCCAAACAACCTTTCTGACATGGTAGGACCTGTGGGGAAAGAGTCCCAGCCAGTTTAGCTTGTTGGGTCATTACGGTATTCAAGGAGGTCTTAGACACCGCCTTTCTAAATGTCTGAAGAATACATTCCAGCTAGCCACCTCACTCATCATATTCTGCAGCAGACAGTTAATCCAGTCTAACGTTAAGGATAAGATACCACTTCTGACCACCTCAGTAGCGTGTATTTATGAGTTTACTTGCTCGTGTGGAGCAAAGTATATCGACCTTTACGCATCTCCTTGAAGTCCACGAACGTATTCTGGAACACCGACCAGTTTCATTAGCCAGAGCTCCATCCTCAAACACCTTGTCAGTCAACTCTGAACATCGAGCACTCAGAACATGACTGCTACACAGTTGCTGCACAGAGTTCCTGAATATTGTACAATAGAACTCTTCGAATACATCATCTGTACATAGCTGAATCGTTAGCTATTTTGGGATTTGAACTAGAACCTCTGCATTCAAAAGCATTACATGCATTTACTCGCCCTACCGTGGCCAGAGTAACGTTCTCACTATAATTTCGCTTCATTTTATTATTGTAAGTTCACTAATATTATTATTATTATTCTCATCATTCATATTTTATGATCACTCCATTACTATTTATTAATAACATTAGGTTTTTATACTAGTTCCTGTCCACTCTACACAGTCATATTGGACAGTCATTTTCTCACATTTATTACGACGTCATCCCAACTTCTGGCCTCACTCTTTCTAATTTCCAACTAGTCATCAGATTCTATTAACAACTGTCTTCGCTCTATACTGAAGATCAGATAGCCGGAAAGAATCACCAACAAGGAACTATTGTAACAAACAAAGCAAGAACCAATCGCCCAACAAATATGCAGGAGAAAGTGGATTGAGATGGATTGGACACTCGCTGAAGAGACCGCTGGGTGACATAGCGCGCGCTTCAGGCCATTGCTCGAGTGGAACCAGGCCGAAAGGGAAGTGGCGGGTGGGACGTCAGTGCAGGAGTTTCATGTAGGAGGTCGTGTGAGGAGGAGTTGAAAGAGTGTGGACTAACATGGATGCAGGTGAAAAGTATAGCAGAAGACAGAAGCAAATGGAGACGTGCAGTTGAAGCCCTATGTTCCACTAGAAACCCAAGGGAGCAATAATAATAATAATTAAGTATGATCTATAGAAAGAAAAAGCTGTTGAAATACGCCCAGACGCTGAAAATCCCATTCTGTGTAATGATTGAAATTGTGGCAGGTGCTACTGATAAGGTCTTATCAGTAGTATATAAAGCATATAAAGAAGTATATAAAGAGACTCTGGCGTAGAGGAGATGTTCGACTATCGACCAAAGGGCGGGTGTACTGCTCATCAGTCCGCTCCGTCCTCCTTTATGGTTGTGAGACCTGACTACTGAGAGTGGAAGACATGGAAAGCCTGATCAGCTGTCTTTGATCATAGGTGTCTGCGTTCTATCTCCCGTGTGAAGTGGTATAATAAGGTGAGCAATATTGAGGTTAGGCGTCGAGTTCTAGGTAAACAGGGGAAATCAATTGACGAGGTTGTGAAGCTACATTGACTGAGATGGTTAGGACATGTGTTACGTATACCTAGTCATCGCCTCCCTCGACGAGCAATGTTAGCGGATATAGGGTCAGGCTGGAAAAAAGCTAGCGGCGGTCAACCAAAATCTTTGCCCCACCAGTCAATGAAATCCACAACAGTTGGTCTAAGCCACGTAGAAAGGTGTAGACTTCCAGGCCGGGGTCCTCGGGACGGTAAAAATCTATGGTTGGAAACAATTGGTGACATGGCTCAAAACCGTTCTCAGTGGCTAGCGCAGATGCACCCACTCCCTGTGACTTATGATCTCCAATGAAACTGTTTTGTATTTCTTTATTACTCCTTTGTCTCACACCTCTGCTTACTGTTTCTATTATGCTTTTCTTGTATTTTCTTCTCTTGCTTCGCGTGCTACACGGAATGTGGCGACTTGAACTTCCGCACATTTGTGCACAGTTCTATTTCGAAAACAGACAGACAGACAGACATTCAAAGGGTATAAAAAAACATCAAATAGCAGGAAGATACATTTGATTTCAGAACAGGCAAATAATACAGCGCGTTGTAAGATGATACATGGAAGACGTGAAAGGAATGTAGAGAAGAAACACAACACAATGGGTGCATTGACGATAAGGTATACACACATAATTTGGTTATATATAGAGATACCAGATTTTCAAATAAAAACATTCTTTTCCTTTACCAAGCCTACACGTCTTCTACCGTTTCATTATTACTATTGTTATTGCGACATTGCATGAACAAGGACTCGAACCTAGGATCTATTGACTATAAGTCAAATGCTTAAATTAGTGACCCATCATCACCTCTCCACACTTAAATAAATCGGAGAATGAAGAATCAGAAACGCCTCATCATCGACTCTATCACCCGCGCACACCCCCCCCCCCAAAAAAAAACAGAGACTGGTGGTTGGAGGCGATCGGTAGGAAGCAATGTCTAACCTAAGCTTCGGGCTTGTTAGTCCTCACCAGTCAGTCAGTTAGCGAAGCGTATTTGCAATCCTCAAAGAACTTATGTCCCTTCTGAGATTCGAAACCCCCCTAAACACCGGTCAGTGCTGCATTCCAGTGCTACCACTATTGAGCTATTCGGGCTACACACTGTAAACTTGCCAAATAGAATCCACTCTGCACCAAAACAAAGGGCTAGACGTGTGATTCTAGTTACTAACTAGTGTTTAATGAAAGTCTGTTTGTCTGTCTGTTTTCGACATAGAACTCTGCACAAATGTGCGGCAGTTCAAGTCACCATACTCCATGTAGCACACAAAGCAAAAGAGGAAAGTACAAGAAAAGCATAATAGAGACAGTAAGCAGAGGTGTGAGACAAAGGAAGAGTAATAACGAAGAACAAAACAATGAAAGTAGTCAATACAGTTCTGCAGGAGGTCAACCGCGAGTTCGAAAAGCTCAGTGGGGTGAAGTTACTGACTGCAGAACTGAGTGGGTAAGACGAGCTCCTCATATCTCAGGGAGGAAGTGGGTTTCTTCAAGTGTGGATACTCCTTGGTGACTGGTACCAACAAGCTCGAAACCTAGATGCAAAGCTTCCTGATGACTGTCTCTAATTACTTATAGTAACTATACACATTTCGTCTTTCTTTGAATTGCTTCCCAAGGGTTTCCTTTACTTATTTTTTTTTTTTTGATTTACAGCTTGATTCCACACTGTATTTTTGGTACAAGTATGGAATTTTCAGCATGGATATCGGTAGCCCAAATTTTGCAGGCCGACCATAGATATCAGGTATGCGCCGGTGTGGGCTCGAACCTCGGACCATGTGCATGGTCGGCGAGAGTCCTAACCACTGTGCCACCGACGCACACCTTTGCGAGCGAGCATCTTATCCACATTAAACATTTATATTTTCATTCAAGAAAGGACAGTAAACTTGGTGTTGTTTCGTTCATGATGGTTAACAGATGGATTCTGGAAGTGCGTCATTCTGTACTCATCCACTGGATATGCCTGCGCATCTTGATGAATTATAGTGTTCCCACTAAAATAGATACCCAGTTACCAACGTTTCCAACACCAAAGGTGATATTCCACTAGGTCATCAGAGTTGAATATTGTGCAGTGGGTAACAACGGCTGTCAGTCGTTGATATTAAATAACAAATTATACCACAAGGCCGAAACCTCCTCAGATCCAAGTGAAACTTCTCCCCCCCCCATTTGAGTAAACTAGACTAAGATTTAAAAAGAAGTCGTCATACCACTCACCACACACACACACATATATACACACTGAGAATGTTTGTACCACTGTGGTGAGAGGTGGCTGCCAGTCAAATCGGTAGACATTAATTTACGTTAATGTTTATGTCCCAAATATTGGTCATGAGAAAAATGAGAACAAAGGCTTTGCGTAGGTGGATACAGTTAACATATAGATGATCTGACATTCAAGAAACAGTCAAGAAAAGGGATGCAGCGTCAACTTTCTGTGAGAAACAACCAATCAGAAGACTGTGTTTGTTTGCTTGGATAAGCTATTATAATGTACATGAAATATATACAAATACGTGTTGATTTCCCTAATAAACGATCTGTTGCCTGGCTGGCCCTTGTCTTCTGTTTTTACAACACAACAACAACACAAACAGCTATTTTATTTCCCTTATCACAAATAATCTCAGAACAAAAATGAAATACATAAATATCTATAGATCACCCTTTCGTGGATCACATGGTGTGTGTGTGTATGTATAGAGAAGTCGCCGGAGGGTTCAGGGGGGGCGGGGGCTTAAAGAAAGGCTAATAAAAAAAATTATTATTATTATTCTCACCTGAAGTGTAACAACACGATGACGTCGTTGTTGACCGAAGGCAACTGTTGTAGCTGCGTTTAAATTCTCTGTAACCAATGTGTTTCTAAGCGCGAAATAGAAAGCTGGTTTCACGCTTGGATCAACTGTTTCAATTAAATCATACAAACGTTCCACACGAAATGGTACTTGAGGCTTAGGAAATGGTTGAGATGCTTGTCCAGCCCATTTTTGCATTTTATCCAAAGCTGTAAAAGAATAACAATTGTAAATTGAGAGAAAATTAAAATGGAGTTTTACTAGATATGACGGAGCATAAAGAGTGAATGTATCTTCTCCAAACATTCAGAATGATTTGGAACTACACCTCACCACCAATTTTCCCCAGCTTTAATCGATTTTTACCATCCCAATGACTCCACAACTAGGCAGTGTACGCCTTCCTACATGGTTGGCTTAAACTAACTGTTGTGTAGTTGATTTGATTGACTGATGAAGCTATGCTTTGCTGTGACCACCAACCAACCAACCAACCACTAGCTTTATTTCAACCTGATGTGTCAGCAATGTCAGCTAACATTGCCCGTTGTTGGGGAAGGTGAACAATGGCTAGGAAGGATGCATGCGCAACACACATGTCCTAACTATCTCTATTGATGAAGTGAGTGAGTGAGTGTATGTAATGCATCTGAACGCAGAGGTCCAGTTTTGATGTCCCGAATAGCCAAGTGATTCGTGTATGTTAAAAGTTGCATATTTAGATCACATTCATATGATATATCGAAGAACTCTGCATAATTACTGTGAAGCAATCTATACACGGGTGGTGCTCGATATCCAGAGTTCATAAGGCATTCATTCAAGGATGAGAGTCTACAGGTATAATACTTTTCTCCTCTGGTTAACTCGATTGAATAGCATTCCAAAATAAATTTTACGCACTTCATTCTATATACAGTGGGCATTTATTCCTCTAAAGGAACAATTAAATTTGATTAGTACAAACTAAAGGTAGCCAAAAGCCGTGTCTTATCCTCTAAGTGTGAATGGATTAATTGTCTACTGGAGGATGAGATTTTCAAGACAGCTGTGTGTGAATATAGTGGTTTTGAAGAATTTCTACTTTTAGTGTCACATTTGGAGAATCTATACTCGTGAATTGAAATATCCTGGGAACAGAAACGAACTGCAGCACTTCTTGTACAAAGTCCTATTATGTCGAAATCAATCAGTCAGTCAGTCAGATACAACCATCACTGATGACGATTTTCCTCTCAAGTTTCTATCAATAAATCTAGGTAAATGTCGGGGTGGTTTGTTTTCCAATAAGGCGTCACGTAAAAATTAAAATTTAGTCCCTATGGTATATCTAGTGGTTGCCAAACCAAAATATGGCTTCATTAGTCAATGAAATCCACAACAGTTAGTGTAAGCAAGCCAGCCAGCCATGTAGGAAGATGTAGACTGTCAGACTACCTGGATGGATTCCTCGGGATGATAAGAGCCAATGAAGGCTGGAGGAAATTATCGGTGATATGGCTCAAAATCGTTCTCAATGGTCAGCGAAGATGCATTCTTTCTTTGTGATTTGTCATATCCCATAAAATTTTATTGTTCTTCCATATCACTAATATTTTTCCCTCACTCAAACCTCTGTTTATTATCTGTCTTCGGAATCTCTCTTTACTTTGTTCTCTTGCTTTTCCCGGCTACGTGGAAGGACTGTAGCAACTCGAACTGCTACACACATCTGTATAAACTTCTACATTGAAACCAATCAGTCAGTGATATATCTTGCGAAAAAGATTTTCCGAGGAATTCTCTTGGTTGAATATATCACACAATTGTACAACTTTTTGAAAGTAACTCATCGAGAAGAAAATTTCGCCCCTCCACTTGGTGTTACCACACTTCTCCTCCTTATGACTCAACTACTCAACGCTGGAATTCTCCTTTGATTGGACACTAGTAACAAGTGTGACGTGTCTAGTCTTTCTTTCTTGGTGCAAACTGAATTTTATCAGTCAGGTTTGCAATGTGACCACCATTCTACGTAGCTAGCCATTATCGTGCACATTGGTTTGATGATATTAGATAGTCGGAGGCAACCGACCACAGGAAGCCTTGTCTGATCTAGATTTCACGCTTTTTGGCACTCGTTAGCAAGGCGTATCTGCAACTGCCTTGAAGGAACTCAAGTCCCTTGTGATATTCGAACCCGCGTCATCCAGTGATGCATTTAGAGGCGCTACTAGCACCGAGCTATTCAAGCTAGCTACTGACCTCCTGTAAGACAGTATTGGATATTTTTGGTCGGACATAAGTTCCTTCAAGGTGATTGCAGATACGCCTTGCTGACTGACTGGTGAGTGCCAACCAGTACGAAACCTAGGTCAAGCAAGGCTTCCTGTGGCCTATTGCCTCCACATATCTATTATATCATTGGAATTCTCCATTCACTTAAATACTAGTCTAGTAATAAAGTCATAGAGAAGAGTTTTAGGAATTTAGCTAACTTGAAAATTTAGTGTTTAAAATTAATAATCCCACTGTAGTGGGATTTATTATTACTATTCATTATAATGTGTAGATTCCTGTACCGATTTCGATTCACAACTCAGAACTGACAGAGTTTCATTCAGTATAGGAGATTTGCACAGGAATTACAGAACTGTAAGTTGCCACATTCCAGATAGCGCACACAGGAAAGAAAATAATAAACTTCAAAAAAACTATAATCAACATAGATGTACACGGTTGAGCGGATATAAGGGGGATTCACATAGATAGAGTGAGTGAATACATTTGCGGCATTGAGAATGACTTTGGGTTATATCATCAACAGTCTCCAGATTTTGTTTTTTAGCACTCTACGGATCCATTGCCCCCTCCCCCACCAACTGAACAGTTTACATCTGTCTACATGGCTGATTCATCAGACTAACTCTGTCAGAGATTTCATGAAATAATGTGATTATGTGATTCGATTGAGATTAACGAAGGACACGTGTTGCAGAGCAATGTTAGCCAACGAAAACCTCACATAGCCATAAAGGAGGTGAGGGAGAACTTCTGAATAGCATACATGTGCTTTGATCGATAGCCAACCGGATATCACATCTACGTCAGAGATGGAGTGAGTTTGAGAATCTCAAAAGAGCTTTCTGCGTCTGTGCTGAGATTTTATCACTAATCAGTCCCTTTGAGCTAATTATTATTTATTTTTTTCCTTCACGTTCTCAGTGGAACATAGGGCCTCAAGTTAGTGGCTTGAAATTTCTGTAACAGTGTTTAATTTTGCAAGATGGTGTTGCTAGCCTCATGCCCAACCTTCCCTTTTTACTAGCATTATTTCTGACTTAGCAAGGTGAAGGAATGCGTCGGTGGCAGGGGATCGAACCCCGAACTATGTGTATGCTCGGCGAGCGTCCTAACCGCTATGCCACCGACGCAATTCCCCAGATAAGTGAAGTGGTCAACAAACTCCACCATTTCACTCCTGCCTTCCTTTAAACAAGAAGTCAGTCCAGTCCTGAAGCATTATCTTACACCAGTTTGACGGCACCAAATCGAATGCCAAAAAAGAAAACATTCGAAGATTGCTACTCCTCATCAAGATGTTCAGAAGACTCTTGATTTTGTTAACAACTTTTTCACATACTCTACGTCGATAAAGCTGTCCGCCTCTGGTAACAAGCCAACCAATCTTTAAGTTACTAAAATCAATTAGGATCAACTCTATTAGTATACGACGTAGGATGGAATTAAACAAAAGTGAAGATTTCTGAAGGACACCACCACCACTGCTCAAACCTTGGTTGGTAATTCGACTAGAGGATCAGGTGAAAAACATAAAATCCGATAAAAAACCAAATCAATCAATCAACCAATCAAATCTATCGGTCTATCTATCTATATTACCTATGAAAGTGGCTTTTCCAAGATTGTGCTGTTTTAAAAAATTTACAGCTTCTTGAGCTGAATCCATAGTATCAGTAACAATATTGTTCAAGGCACCACAGGCTGTTGACACTGCAATATCATATCGTGAAGGAATAGCACCCAGGTCACCAAGTCGGCCAATAATTCCTGGCAATATACCAGAACGTTTTGCTTCAAGCAAAGCGTTTAACAATCGACTTCTTGAACTTTCGGCCTATTGATGAAGAAAAATTGGTTATGAAAAAAAACATTTTTAAAAATTTATCCATATATGAAATCAAAATTGAAATCGAAAAATCGAATCCCTCTGCAAACAAACTATTGAAAGTTAATCTGATGCTCACCACCACCGACTGTCTACGGAGTGGAGTAGCCTGGCTGAAGTTCCAGAGGGACTTCAACCGGTCGGGAGAGAGAGGACAAGCTGTTATGATGCCAGATCTTTGTCTCGAGGTAGCTGCTTAACTACTGACCAGTGCCCACTTAACAGGTAAAGCAGAACACGCGAGAATCAGCGGTGAAACCAGGTTTATTTATTTATGACAAAAGTTACTGTATTTATATAAAATAAGGTAGACTGGAAATCAACCAATCCAGTTGAGAGTTTGGAATTGTGCAAGCGTCCAATCAGAAAGCAGAAGCAAATGCATGTCAAGGACACGCTAATAACTTGACTGAGACATGATAATGACCTGATAATTGCATGTGTTTTTGCCTCTTCCTAACACAAATACTCGCCACAGATAACATTTGGTTGGTGCCAGTCACGCTAAAATCACCAATTAGTACAAGTTGGATGCCTACTGCCAATGAGTCCCGAACTAGGATGGAACAGTTGTCCAGTGCTCCTCGATAGTTTTCAATGGTTCTCTCTCAATGATTTTAAAGTGTGGTAAAGCTTTAGACAAATCACAACCCTATGAACTAACTCTTGTATATATGAAATTATCACGATATAAAATCAGTTGACATCACAAATATGTCAGTGGCTATAAATATGGATGTCCAGATGGTGGTGTGGAAGCATGCGAATACTACTCAACAACCAACTACATTCCTATGCAATTGAGAATGAACCACACCTATTATGGCATGAAAGTTGGCTAGTACATACTAACTGGGTGTCCAAACCAAGTCGGTGGCAGTCTAAAAGCTACATACACCGATGAGTCACATATATAGCTCCATTCCACATACGCATTGATGACATTATCCAAATGGATAATGCCAGGTTGAAATAGGTGGAGCTGGGACCACAGACTAAAGGGCACACAAGGAACAGGGTTTGTTTGTTGGACTGCTAAACATTAATTCAACGTTCAGATACAACTCACTTCTTAATGAAGTACCTGCTCCACTGGTCAATAACCCCAAGGTCTGGTGACAAAACTTCTGCAATTAAATGAGAAAGCTTGGAGAACATCAGCAGATATTATCCATCGTTATATCTTGAGACACAAATCTTGTGAAAAGAAAAGTTAACGCAATTGAGGCAAATCAATATGCTTATATCCAGTTTACTTGCTACTATGGATCTGAGTACATTGTCCATAGTTTTGCGTCCGCCTGTGATAGAGACATTGGTAAACACTGTCCACAGCTTGGCTAGCAGCAAAGGGAGAATGTAGGTGTGTCTACAGCTCAATAACAGAGCATCTGGTAAACTTAGGACACTCAGCTTCACTTGTAGTGTCCTTCAAACAAAGTCCTATACAAGATTCGATCAAACTTCTCATGTGAGAGTAAGCTAAAGACATCTAGGCATATAGCTAAAGCATTCACGATCCAAACATTCAAGCCAAAGTTATGTGTTCAGAGGAAGTACGTCCTTGTCATGAATATCATAAACAGTTAATTTTCTCAAATAATTAATTATCACAGTATGTTTCGTTAATCACTAGAATTCGCCCCACAACCGGAAATACTCCATGAAGATTTATCAGCCCTTGGCGTAATTCATTCACGAATGTGCAGCCTAGCTGATAGCGTTATAATTCAAATCTTATTTTCATAAAGCCTCACAGCTGTGTTATACAGTAAGTAATATCTACTGATGATAACCACGTTTCGAGCACAATTTACTGCTGCTCATAATCAGGGCATTACTCACACAGCTTTCTTGTTCCCTTTATATACATGAGTAAAATTCATTAGGCATGTGAATAAAATCAATATAAGACAGAGTACATTCAGAAGCAATAATATTAGTGTTATCAATCAAATACAATCAGATGGGAAAGGAAATAAGATGTTTTTATAGTAAAATAAATAAACAACTTGTTAGAATGTCATAATGTGAATTGAATTGAATACATTTTAACACTATTATTTATTATCCTCCTCTGATTTGACTGACTGGTGGTATTTGCGTTGAGTCACTTCTATTGCATGTGTGGAGTGTAGACTCGATGATCCAGGCAGGATTCAGTAATCAACCACCTCTCTCTCCCTCTCCACCTACCTATAGTACTTTTGAGAATTTCGACTCTGTCCCACTCACCCCATTATGTGTTTCTGTGTTAAAGCATGCAGTGCAATAATTTAGAAAACCATCTCAGCTCAGCAATAGCACTGCATTCATTACACAATAGAGTGGGTGGGACCGAGTTAAAATTCTAAAAAAGTAATACAGTTAGATGGAGATGGAAAGAAAGAGTAAGATTAATTATTGAATCTTGGTTCATGGAATAATCGACACCCAACACAACCGATAGATTTGGAAAGAGGCGTGTCTTAGAAAAAACTTCATACATCTCGTTCCCTTGGTAAATTTCGATAAAAAGATTAGTCATCTATAATTCAATGATCTCAACTCACTGAGCAAATCTCAATCTTAGAAACTGTAACCGCTTTTGTTTCTTCAGTTGCTATGTGAATCTACAAGCTAACATCGTTTGTTAAGTTTTTCTGTGTTCTATCTTCCCCCTTCCCCCTCTCTTTTCTACTTTAAAAGCGTATAAATTAATGATGAAAACTTAAACTAAAAATTGTAATGCTGCTTACATTTTCGATGCGTCAGTTTTATACTATGTCTTCTCTACTACCACTCAAATATTAAAGTATGTTATTATCATCTATATAATGATTGTAATGTTCAGGTAGTTAATGGCAGCTGATGAGAACCTGTGAAATAAAATGATGACATTATTTTATACGTCAAATTTCGTCCTCCTTTCTTTGTCGAAACATGCAATAGAAGCGACTCAACACAAATACCAGAGATATGTGTGGAAGATATTATTACCACCAGTCAGTCAAATCAGAGGAGGATAATAAATAATCTTAAAATGTAATTCACTTAAATTCACATTATAACATTCTAACAAGTTATTTATTTATTTATTTTACCGTAAAAACACTCGTTTTATGTCCCTTCTGATTGTATTTGATTGATAACACTCATATTATTATTTCCGAATGTACTTGATCGTATATTGACTTTCAAATATCTGATCAATTTTTACTCAAGTATATAAATGAAGCAAGAAAGTTGCGTGAGTAATGCCTTGGTATGACTATGAGCAGTAATAAATTGTGCTCGAAACGTGGTTATCATCACTAAATATTACTGTACAACACTGTGTGACTTATCAAAATAAAATTTTATCCATAATGGAGTTAAACTCTTTCAGCACAGTGCGCAAGTTTTATCCTTATAGCTGATAGCGCCATTTTGTCTTTATCTAGAACTGTGTAATTTGTGAGTTTGATTCGCCTAAGTAGGCTAGTTAGACACAATTCAGGTGATTCCAACACTGATTCGGCCTCTTTGAATTGAGTCAACCTTGAGTTAACCACTGACGAGTTCGGCTACATAGCAGGAGAAACTGTACTTCTTCAGTCCTTCGACCACTTCAATCTAGCTGGCAAGCAGTACAACTTATAACGTGAATGGTTCCAGACTACGCATATATCAATCAGTCGGCCCCCGGATACCATCCCACCTACAAATCTTCCCTTATGGAAAGGATTTTATTTTGATAAGTCACACAGTGTTAAACAGTAATATTAACTGATGACAACGTTTCGAGCACAAACTATTGCCACTCATAATCATCACACCAAGGTATCATTCACACAACTTTCTTGCTTCATTTATATACATGAGTAAAAATTGATGATGATTAGACATTTGAATAAAATCAATTTGAGATAAAGTATATTCGGAAATAATAATATGAGCGTTATCAAACAAATACAATCAGATGGGAAATAAGACGAGTGTTTTTTATACTCATAATAACAGAATGTTATGATGTACGTGAATTGAAATAGAATTTTGAGATTATTTATTATCCATTCTCCTCTGATTTGACTGACTGGTGGTGATAATACCTTCCATCTCTCTGGTAGTTGCACTGAGTCATTTCTGTAGCATGTGTTGGGTGTGTAGACTCAATGAACCAGGATTCAGTAATCAATCTTTCCCTCTACCTGTATTACTTTTTAGAATTTTTATTCTCCCCCACCACCCTATTGTGTGTTAATGCATGCAGTGCAATTGCTGAGTTTCTTTTTTTTAAATTACTCATCTTCTCGGGGTCAAATATTTTTACCTTAGCTAAATTCTTATGTTCCGACAATCTGACTATCCCCACCCGATCTACTAGTTTGACCTATATAGTTGATTTAATCCACAGTCATTGCATGGTATTTTGTAAATTCTATTACTGCTTGATTGGGTCCACCGGGTCTTTTAACCTACAGAGTGTCTCTGAGTGAGTTTGTAGGTTTGAATGCCCCCCTAATTCCTGCTTCATGAAGAGTCCTACGTAGAGTGGGTTTCAGATGTCCCCTCCTTATATGGTATAACAATAGATTACTTTTATTCTCTTTTATTTATGTTATTCGTCTTATTTTCCATCTGATCGTAATTGATCAATAACACGCATATTATTATTTCTGAATGTACATTATCCTATATTGATTTTTAATCCAATGACTAATCGATTCCACAAATGCATATAAATGTAGCAAGAAAGTTGTGTGAGCAATAGTTTGTGCTTGAAACGTGGTCATCAGTTAATATTACTGTATAACACGCCTGTATGACTTATCAAAATAAAATCTTATCCATAATGGAGTTATACTCTACCACAATGCCCAAGTCTTATACTGATACAAATCTTACCCCCCCCGGCCAACCCAACGATTGGACTTCCACTAACAAGCATGACACACATATACACACACAACAACAAAAAAGATGAAATCAATAGTCAAATCCCGATGGTTCTTTCTTCGCCTACCTGAAGAGAAGATTTCGACTCTACCAATTTACCACGCAAGGCATTGACTTCTTTTGCTAAATCCGCTTCATGGGCTTTCATTTCAGCTAGATCACGTGTAGCGGAAGCCAAAGCTGTTTCTAGACTGCCTTTTATACCATCTCGATTATTGTTACTGTTTCTGTTGTTGTTTTCTGTACCTGAGAGTCGTTGTTTAGCCTCATTCAGTTCCTGTTGACAAGCTTTAAGCTTTTCGTCAACTGATTGTTTATTTTTACGTGCTATATCTGCACGCTCTAATTCACGACGTTCAGCAGTCATCATTAGATTATACTCTTGACGTTGTAATTTTAATTTACTTATCAATTGTTCAGCTTCTTTCTGTAATGGTCCAAGAATTGATTCACTTTGTTCAACTTTAATTCGTAAAGGTGTAGATTCCTTGGCTAAATTATCAAGTGTTTCCTAAAGGGCAAAGGGTAAAAAGGGAGGAGAATAGAAAGGAATACGAGAGAGAGAGAAATAAATGAATTACTATACGTAATGATAACCTCTCGCCTAGTTATAACTTGCTTGCTAGTTTTCCAGCCGGTCCCAAGCCCGGGGGTGAAGAGGAAGGGTTAGGCTAGCAACCCTACACTACAAAAGCTAACAAACTGCTAGAGGAACTTGAACGCCTTCGGGAAGATAGTCATCGCCCAGTCGATGTGTCTTCTCTCGATGAAAGCAAGAATAACAACGCAGATGTGGAATGTCCGTACAATATACGAAGTTGGAAAGGCTATCCAGATAGCCAAAGAAATGAGAAGATATGACACAGAAGTGCTGGGAATCTGTCAGAGCAAATGGAATGGATGTGAACTGTCAAAGTGGTCAACTGGATAGTCAGTAATCTACTCCAGTCTGGTCATTCAGACGACAACCACGAGCATACTGAGGCAGGGAGTGGCTATAATGATGTCATCAATAGCAGCCAAAGCTGTAATGTAGTGGTTAACAATTTCATCCAGGATTACGACAACAAGATTCACCTTAAAAGGAAAGCATGAGAGTCACAATAATCCAGTGCTACGCGCTGGAAACAAACCAACAAGTAAGAGCCGATTGCTCAACAAATATGTAGGAGAAAATGGAGATGGATAGAGCATACGTTGAAGAGACTGTCGAATAACATCGTGCGCAGTGCAGGCTATTGCTCGAGTGGAATCAGGATGGGAAGCGATGAGTGGGTCGTCAGTGCGAGGAGAACGTTTGAGTTGGAGAGGGAGATGAGAGATTATGGGCAATCGTGGACCCAGCTAAAGAGGACAGTAAAGAATAGAACAAAGCAGAAATGTGTTGTGGAAGCCCTATGTTCCACTCGGAACCCAAAGGGGATGATAATAATATAGTAATAATAAGTAATGACCAGATATACTCATTGCAGCCATTCCTATTTTGTTTTATCATATATGTACTAACCTCGTCTAGTTTAATAGCTCACTACTTTTCTAGCCGGTCCCAAGCTCAAGGAAAGAGGTTGGGAATGGGGCTAGTAACCCCACTCCGGAAAATCAATCACACCGCTATGGAAACTTCGATGCCCAAGGAAAATATTATAAATATACAAAACCAAAGCTATCTCTCGCTGGAATCGGGGAGATGAGAGGATGCAGGCTGGCGAAAGCCTTCAAGAAGCCAGTCAGCCAGCCGAAAGAATGAGAAGATACGGTTTAGGAGTGCTAGGAATCGATGAGGAAGTGGAGATATGCTGTTGAAGCCATATGTTCTACTCCGGTCCTATAGGAACAATAATAATAATAACAACAACACATGTATTAATGGAATTGGTACTCGCTTCGGTGGTACATATACTAAAAATTGGAACTATGCAGAGATTAGCATGGAGCCTGGGCAAGGATGACACGCAAAATCGTGTCATATTTTCCGTGCGTCGGTGGTTCAACAGTAGAGTGCTGACCGACCATGCACGTGGTCCCTGGTTTGAGTGCCCACCGGCGGATTCCTTTACATTCTTTAGCCGGTTTAAATCCGACAAAGAGGGAGGCTGGGCATGAGGTTAGCAACCCCCCCCCCCGTAAAAAACATCACTTCTACTGAAACTTTAAAGCGATAGCTTGAAGCTTGTTCCACTGGGAACGCAAAGAAATAAAAACATACAATTGCCTTGTTACCAGGGAATAATCTCATTGACTTAGAATATGCAGATGATATAGTCCTTCTAGATGAAGACGTTGACTATATAGTGCAGGGTCTTCTGAACACCCTACAGCGGAATTTCTAACGTTTGGTATGCGATTTGCTCCAGCTACATTCAAAATGATGCCATAGGACTGGACTGCATGGATTCCCAGCTTAAAGCTAATGAGTGAAGTGATGGAGAGCGTTGACCACTTCACTTATTTGGGAAGTTGAACTAGCCCTAATCCACGAAATGATTGCTGATAAAAAAAATATCAGCACAGACACGAAATGTTGGTGTGAGGTTTGCCAACTTAGGTCATCTCTGGCGTAGATGTGATATCCCGCTGGTTACCAATTTGAAGGACAACGTCATCAACTGACCTATCTCCCCTCCTCTGAGGTTGGGTGTCGACTGTCACGAAAGGAGGGAAAATCTATCAATGAAATAAATGGTGAAGCTACTACCGCTGTCTTCGCCGAAGCTAATGTTAGTTGATATAACATTAGATCGGCAAATAGTTAGTGGTGGTCAAAACCAAACATGGCTCCATTAGTCAATCAAATCTTTAACAGTTATAGTTTGAGCCACGTAGACTGCTGGATTCTGAGAACCAATGGTTGGAGACAATTGGTGATAAGGCTCAAAATCGTTCTCATTAGCTGGCGCAGATGGATTCACTCTGTGATCTGGTATATCTGAAAAAAACCCTATTATTTTTCTGTTACCATTCTTTCTCACCCGCCACCCCCCTTCGCAATTTTTTTAATATTCGTTTACGTTCTCAGTGGAACATAGGAGTGCTTCAAGCTACAGACTTGAAGTTTCTGTAGCAGTGGTGCTTATTTTCACGGAATGAGGTCGCTGGCCTCATGCCCAACCTTCCCTCTTTGCCAGTCAGTCCAACTGCTGGCTTAGCGAGGTAAAGGAATGCGTGTGGCCGGCGATCGAACCCCGCACCACCTGCATGGCTGGCGAGCATTCTACCGCTGTGCCACCAACGCTTCTCATGCTTCAGCTTATTATTCTTCTTTCAAATCTCTTTTTCCCTTTCTTTTGTCTCCCCTTTGTGTGCCACATGGTGGAGAGTGTGACAACTCGAAATGATGCAACTTCTGTGCTAAGTTCTATGTTGAAATCAGTCGGTCAGTCAGAACCACCCTCCTTACCTAACACCATCCAACGCCTAACTTTAGCAGTACTCACTATATTATACCACCTCGACACGGAAGACAGAACTCAAAACGAAGCTACTTCATAGCCTCTTCATTCATAGGCATATAAGTGAAGAGACTATGGTGCAATCTGAGTCAATGCAAATGATTCAGAAGCAGCGATAGTTGCTCACCGACCATCTTCATCAACAGCTTGAGTCCAACGTTAATTTAACAACGGGAGTAACCAGAAGAAAAAGCATACAACAACCTACCCTGTAAGCTTCTTCATTCTGTTTTTTGACTTCTTCATATTGTGCCACCTGTTTTAGAATTTCCTCACGACGAGCATTTGCTTCTTCGGGAAGTTTTTGCAACTGTTCTAAATTAGTTTTCTCTGCTTGAATAGACTTAGTTAAACGGATGGATGTATTTTTTGTGTGTGCATGTTCATCACGTAATCGACTGTCTTCAGCTTCAAAATCAGCAAATTTAGTCTTTGCTTCACGATGTCGTGTTTGTAAGTCGGAATGTTGCTTAGTGATTTCTTCACGTCTTGATTCTAATTGTGAAATTAGTTTAGTAGTTTCCTGTATTTGATTGGTTAATTCCTAAGAAAGAAAGAAAGAATATGCCAAACCTTAATGTATCAATCACACCAATCATACTCGTACGCACATACAGACACACACACACACACATGTAATTCAACTGACGTGTGTGTGTGTGATGTGAATATGCACATAGGACAAACCTCGCCAGACAGAAATCAAGGTAATTCAAAAGAAATGAACACCGCGTGTAGCCGCATCTGTTCGATCATCATCACCAAGAAAGCCAGTTAGTGAAGTAGAACAGTTTCAAAAATCATCATCAGCCATAAGGTGGTCTACACGCTATAGAATCAGGCCACAAAATTGATGCTGACAATATTGAGGCGCCGGTCCAATCAGAAGCGCCATAATAACTGAACACCTGGTCGACCAACACCTGTCACAGCATCTCAATTGTCTCATCCAACATTCACAGTCATTTACAAAGTAAACAAGAATCTACCAGAGGCAGTGTGTTTCCCACTTCTTTGTACTGTGGAAGCTCTTGCCATATGCATTGAAAAGCCGGAGTTGTGTGTGTTCAAAAGAAACTAGCCCAGCCTAAACAACTACCATGGACCTAGTTAGGTATGTTCCCTTCAGTTTTTTGTCTTGTTCTCCCTGTGTGTATTTTTCTCTCTTTTTCTTTATTCAATTTATCCCATTTCTGTTTTCAGCTATAAAATCAGTTATTTTAACTTTGTTTCCATGCTCCTCCTGATCACACTTGTAATCCGTTTAGAATAACTGTAACAACAGAAGACAAGGGCCAGGCAACAGATCGTTTACTAAGGAAACCAGCACGTATTTATATATATTTCATGTACATTATTATAGCTTATTCAAGCAGACAAACACAGTCTTCTGATTGGTTGATTCTTGCTCTAGGCTATTATGTACTGCTTGCAACTGGTTTCTCAGAAAGTTAAGCCATATATCTGCGAATCGTATTTGCCCACGTTAATTCTGTTGTGATTGGTTGTTGAATCAGTCTTGTTCATATTTTCTCACGCCAATATTAGCGATCAGGCATTAACGTAAATTAATGTCTACCAATTTGCTAGCAGCCTGCTCTCACCACAAACTAGTTTACAATTATATTCTAATCCTGTGTAATTTTTTGTATCTACGCCTCTTGTAATCTATATTTATTCACACACACCTCCTCACTTACATTTCAACTCAAAAATTTTGATTTCAATTTCTTTCCATGCTCATTTTGTTTGTTCACACCTGTAATTCGTTCTATCCCCCTGCGAAAATTTTGTTTCTAAGCCTCTTGTAATTCATATCAAGTTGAAAATAATTGTCACCTTTTATTTGCCTTTAAAATTATTTCTCCAGTTATCAAATATCAATTTTACATACGTCGAAACTGTTTTCTAATCCTATGTAATCTTGTGTCTCAGCCCCTTGTAATCTATATTCGTACCTTCAAACTTACATATCAAGTCGAAAATTATTATCTCCCTCGTTACCATGTGGAATTAAATAATTAGTCATTGTATCCATGTAAACTAATGTATATAAATACGATTGTACACCTTCTGAGAATGAAATCACCGAAAAGATATTTATCCGTGTTGCTGAACTTCTTGTTCTTTTCCCTCTAATGTCCCCATTAATGTTGAAAAAAATCCAGAAAAAAGATTTTAGAAATCACAAAGAACGTCTCACATAATCAGAAGCACTTTATATATCAAATGGAATCCAAAATCGTTTGAATAAGAATGATGGGACTAAAACAGAGTTTGACCTGGCTACACAACCCCCTCCCCTCCACCATAAAATGACAAAATCAACACGAATATGTGATAAGCAATTTCATTATCATACGCTTATCAAATCCAACAATCTACACCTGGTTTTGTTATCCTTACACCAATTGACCAAATTGACAACGTGAAAATGCTCCCATGCTGAGGAACGGCTATTAATTTGTTATATATAAGTTGTCATACATAAGGTGAGATTTTGAAAGAAATTTTCATTTTTGATTACAGCTTGATTCCACACCGTATTTTTGGTACAAGTGTGGAATTTTCAGCGTGGATATCGGTAGCCCAAAATTCGCAGGCCGACCATAGATATCAGGTATGCGTCGGCGTGGGCTCGAACCCCGGACCATGTACATGGTCGGCGAGAGTCCTAACCACTGTGCCACCGACGCACAAAGGGCACATGTTTGAATGTCTTGTAATGATCCTTCCGCAGGTTCACCTACGGAAACCTTGTTACGACTTTTACTTCCTCTAAATAGTCAAGTTAGGTCGTCTTCTCGGCATCAGTAGAGCGGCAAAGCCACTGCAACGACACCAATCCAACGGCTTCATTAAACCACTCAATCGGTAGTAGCGACGGTGTGTACAAAGGGCAGGGACGTAATCAGCGCAAGCTTATGACTTGCACTTACCAGGAATTCCTCGTTCACGGGGAATAATTGCAAGCCCCGATCCCAGTCACGACGGTGATGAAACAGTTTGCCCAACCCTTTCGGGCCAGGTTCCCAACTCGCTGGCACCGTCATTGTAGCGCACGTGTGGCCCCGGACATCTAAGGGTATCACAGACCTGTTATTGCTCAATTTCGTACGACTTCGATGTGTCGTCTGTCCCTCTAAGAAGTAAAAACTGGCACCGTACCCGCCGGATCACGACCATACTACTCCATAAAGAAGCAATAGAAGCCGCGCCCTGAACGAGTACAGAGGACCAATCTACTATTTAGTAGGTTAAAGTCTCGTTCGTTATCGGAATTAACCAGACAAATCGATCCACCAACTAAGAACGGCCATGCACCACCATCCACCGTTTACTAATACTATTACCATTAAATAGCGAAACGTCAGCAAAACCAACAACATCGTTTTGTTCTTCATTCATTGGGAAATACCAAAAACCTTCGTTATAATATTGCGTAATATACATTTGACCAACACACATTTTGGACGTTCTGATCACATTCACACGCACATTCCAGATATACTTACACAAAAAAGGTAAGTCACACGTACATAGGGAAGTCTCATCCATCTCTGAAGCTTAGCTCAATGGCTTCAGAACACAGAAATTACCTGATTCAATTAACCGCATAAACAGATGTCATCTAGTGCAAAGTGCATCACAGAGACAGATGACATATATTTGATTTCAATCAATAGTGTCGCCCTCAAACATATATATATACAAAGTTTCAGTAATATGCTGAAAGCTGTCTCGTCGAAGCCCTAACCATTAAAGAGTTTAAGGCTGTCTTGTGTTCAAAAGCCGTTTTGTCACTAATTTTTAAGTGTTGGTTTGCAGAGAAAATTAATCTGGTTCCATACAGGAAGTTACCTCCAGTTCTATTGAAAAGTCATGAGTAACAGGATTCATCAAGTTACTCAGCTATGACACATTGATTGTTGGTTGAGCTATATATCGCGAATTGGTACAATTTGGAATTCGTGGTCTATTGTTTACGATCTAAATGTTTTATGAACTCGCCTTGTTGCCGGAAGGTCCTTAGTTCGGACACCAGTAGTAAGTGTATACTGCTGAAGAGTTCTGAGCTGAGACGAAAACGTCTACAGATTGACATCAATTATGCTTGTACACAAATGCGCATGACAAATACGTATGTATCTGTGATCAGAATGTTCGGAATGTGTCTCAGATAAATTCCGTTTTCTTTATGTTTTATTGAAATTCATCACAAAAAAAGAGCCAATCGCTTTACTAATAACTTTGCTTTAAAAAAGAACGATACAGCATTCAAACAATTAGTCCTTTTGATAAATTTGAATAAGGCATTTAGAAGACAAATTTCGCAAGATGATATCGTCATTTGGTAATTTCTCTACAATCACTTTACAGCTAGCATGGTTCACAATAATAAGATGAAATAAAACGCATGACAATTACTCAGTTATGTAAATAAAAACAAAAGCACATACTAATGACCAATCATATTTCTAAATAGGTCAAGTAGTCCATGGTAGGCGAAGGTTGAAGTCTATTGTTTTTTGTACACACAGTTTAGGCTGTATGTAATTAATCCAAAGTGCTTCCATCGCCTTTAATAATCAACCTTGAATTAGAGTCATGCGATGAAATAATTGTGAAACAGTCATTAATTAATATTGATTTAGTGACCTGACATTAATAAGTGTTTTGCAATGGATGAAGATGATGGATTTCTTTTCAGATTAATAATTGCATTAGGATTTTCTTCTATATGTTTTAATAACCATTTTGGAACATGTTCATTCCGACGACCACATTGGAACATTGTATTGGTTCTACCTATATAAATGTCACCTCAACAACTGCAGGTGAACTTGTAGATACAGTTTGAAGTAGAGACCACAGAATTTCATTTCAGGTGCAGGAATCAAAAATGTTCGAGATGTGAGGGAAAGAGATGCGGTGGCGTAGAATGTGCGCTTGATGGCTAACCGAAGTCTTTGAGCTGTCAACTGCATAATTTGATCACCCTTGAATGGTAGGTTAATAAAGATAACTTTCTTTGGTACAGAGGCTGTCTTCTCAAGATATGGTCTAGCCTTACTATGACAATTGATAATGTTTTGTGGATATATAACCGTTAGCTAATAAAACTGAATAGATACGTGTCGAAGCTCATCCATCAATATGTCGCTCGTACATAATTTGTGGGCCCTTGAAAACAAACATTTCACTCACTAGGGAATGTTTATACTGGATAGGACATTATTCATCGAATACTTGAGAACAAAAAATAGGCGAAACACTACGATTATACCTGACAACTTATATTCAGATTTTGGGTTTTGTAGAAGGATTGGCATTAATTTCAATATAGAATTATTGAAAACGAAGCAGCACTAGACACCCAATGTATTTCGTCTCATGAGATCTTACTTACGGGTCTACTCAGGGGATCTTCAAGCTACAATTATACACTATGTTGTTCAAAAAATAACCTACAGTGCATGCATAGTGAACAGCAGAAGCACTACACCCCTAAGTGGCTTTATCGTAAGGTAAATTTATTTGATAAAAGCATACAGTGTTATACAGTATTACTTACTGATGACCACGTTTTGAGCACACTTTATTGCTTGCTCATAATCACCATGTCAAGACACTACTCACATAACTTCCAAACTCTGTTTACATATAATTTCATTATTTTTTATTCTTCAATTTTATTGGTAGTAGTAATTAATTTTAATTTTTTTTAGTTTTGATTTCAGCTTGATTCCACGCTGCATTTTTGGTACAAGTATGGAATTTTCAGCATGGATATCGGTAGCCCAAACTTTGCAGGCCGACCATAGATATCAGGGGTGCGCCGGCAGGGGATCGAACCTCGGACCATGCGCATGGTCGGCGAGAGTCCTAACCACTGTGCCACCGACGCATATCATAGCTCCGGTAGCGGTGTTGAGTCAGTCCTAATGTGAATGCTAAGCGTGTAACGATGGAAGACAAGGGCCAGGCAACAGATCGCTTATTGAGAAAATCATCAGATATTTATAGAGTTTTATGTACATTATTATTCGTTATTATTATCATCAGAGAAACAGTGTCTTCTGATTGGTTGTTTTCCGGCTGAAGGTTACTCTATCATCTCTTTCCTGTCATTTCTTAGACAGTCCGGTGACACATCTGCGTATCGTATCCACCCACGCTAAGTCTGCTGTGATTGGTTGTTGAGTTCCTCAAGGTTACACTTAGTTATTGTTTTATCTCGTGACCGCGATCAGGGAAGTAAACATTGACGTACATTGGTGTCTATCAATCTTGGCTAGCAGACACCTCTCAGCACAGGTGTAAATTCTATGGCCAAAGATTTACTAATCAACTCCTTTTTTCACTCATCTATATTACTTTTTAGAACTGTATGTAACTTTGCCCCACCCAATCTATTCTGTGTCAAAGCATCTACTGTGACTGATAAGTTTTTCTGTCAACTATACATTTATTTTCCTGGGGTCAGTCATACTCTACACTTAGCTTAATTCTTATAATCCAATAACCTGACTAACGTTGATATACTGGATTAACTTGTATACATTTCACCTCATAGTGTCACTGCAAGGTATTTTGAAAATTATATTATTTTGTTTAATTGAATTTTTTTAGATTTTCCCATCGATTAATTGGACCGAAGTGCTGGGTCTCATGTTGACATGTCGGCTTCTTATGCAAATGCTTCGACGATCTCTGGGTATGCGATTAGAATTTAATTAGTGGATGGTGACTAGCAGTGGGATCCAGGATAACGCGCATTTCGTCCTATTTGGTCTATTAAATAATTAATATGACCGATTGCACAAGAGGCGGCTCTCGTGGCCCCATTGGTGGTCTAGTCGAAAACGCTTTGTCGTTGGAAACTATTGGCACTGGGTCCGAGCGTCGGTGGGAACATCATCACTCATTAACTTGGAAATGCAGGTACATCCAGTTGATGAGTCCCGGAAAGGACGAAATGCACGTTATCCTGGATTCCACTGATAGTCATTATCTGCCAATTATACTACTTTTTCGCTGAAAGTTAGGTTGTAGGTTTGAATACCACCACCTAATTTCTACTTTATGAAGAAACCTAGGCAGGATTTCAGATGCCCCCCTCCTGTATACGATAAAAAACTGTAGATGCCGTAAATTCTTTCCTATTTATGTTATGGTCAGTAATTCTACCACTGTTTTTCTTTTTGATTTTTCTATTGAGTTAGTAACAAAGCTTCTTCTGTCTGTTTCATTTCACTATATAGGCTTTTTTATGTACTACTACTTAGAGTTATTGCTCGGTTTGTTAGACCCACTGAACTAAGACTGCTTTTGCAGGTGACAGATGAGACGAATTGAAGTCTTACATATCTATTAAAGTCAGTTGACCTTGTTTTATAATTAACAGAGCATAGTTTATCTTCTCCTGCTCCCTTTTAATTTACAATCTAACATCGCTAATTCTCTGATTGGACATTCTAGTCAGTAACTAGTGTAGTGTGTCTAGTCCTTTGCTTGGTGCAGACTGAATTTGATCACGGGTCCGAATAGCTCAGTGATAGTAACACGTTTCTGAATGCAGCACTGACTAGTGACGCGCGGGTTCGAATCTCAGAAGGGACATGAGTTGTTCTTTCAAAGTGATTGCAGATACGCCCTGCTAACCGATTGGTGAGTAGGCAACAAGCACGAAAACCAAGGTCAGGTGCATATTGCTTCTTGTGGCCAACTGCCTCCACAACCATCTAATAGCAATAGCCAATTCTGCTTGTTCACTTCCTGAGTCAAATGTAAATTTCATCCCCTCTGCTATTGAGTTTGTGTTTGAAGAGACTAGACCATATATCTTTGGCGTAGGGATGATTAAGAGCCATATTTTCCTAATTATCCATAAAGACGTTTTTGCTGCTATTCTACCTGTTTCTCCATAGATTTCACTCTGGAATATGAAGACAATAGACGTGAGGCATTAATTGAATTCTTAAAGTAATTTCCTCCATTGGGTAAGGTTTGTCCTATGAGTAAGTGCGGAATCAACAGTTAGTTCTTTTCTAACTACTATTATTAGCAGTATAAAAACTAGTTATCATAACTCCCTATCTGCGTGTTCAGGATCACATGATGTGTATGAATTACCCGACGACTTTCTCGGTAACAAAAAGCAAGAAGCAAAAAAAAGACATTTAAATAGAGAAGAAACGCAGTTAGGTGGATGCATACTTACATCAGCTTCACGCTGAACTTCTGTCAACTTTTCTTTAGCAATCTTTGCACTATTATTTTCTTTTGATAATTTTTGTTGATATAATATATTTTTCAATCGAACTAATTGATTTACTAAGCGTAGATAAGCAATCGCTTCATTTCGTACACTTTCAAGTTCATCTTTCTCTTTTTCCACAACTTTAACACGTGCCAATTTCTCTAAGCGTATATCATTTATTCTTTCTATACGAGTAGCATAAGTGTTTAATGGTGCTTTGTAACGAGATGATCCGATTATATCCTAAAAGTGAAACAGGAACAGAGATAATAATAATAATAAATATTAAAGTATATTCTATAGACAATACTTAGAAGTCAGTTACACAAAACAAATTACGCATGCATTAAGAAACGACGATGCCACACTGCTTACTAGGTACATGAGGGAGGCTTCGATGCTACTCTGCCCAGTCGATACGGTTGAAGTAGAAGGGGAGGCAGAAGTCGGACTTCAGGATCCACTGGCTGAAAATCGAGTTCCTGAGGGCATAATATGAGCTTTATATCTCTCTACAAGTAGGAGAACATTATCTATCAATGAAATGTACATTTCATACATTTTATTTCCTTTAATGAATTTGAATAAAGCGAGAACTACAGTTTTAGCACTGGTACCATCATTGTTTATTTTGTTGCCTTCTCATCAGCTGCTTACAGGCCACAGTCATTATTAAGTATATCTACAGAAACAATTTTAACATACTTGCACAGAGTTCATTTTAGACAAAAATCAATCGATCCATATATGCATACAGCAATAATAATAATATCTATAGGATTTTGCGACATTCACCTCATGACCCGTGTCAAGGAGATGCCTGGCGATGGCACTGTTTATAGCATGTGTTCCCTTTAGACATAAGCTTTTTGGTACATGTTCAGAAAATCATAGATATACCCTTCTTTCTGTCCTTCCAATGTAATTGCTCCCGCAGATAAATGTAAATTTGTATATACAGTTGGAGTTAACATGAGGATATCTATCGATTTTTGATTGCACCAAAGAACAAGTTGTTTGATAGACGAGGACGAGCTTAGCTACAGGACAGGCTCTGGCTAGTGACGTACTCAGTCTTCAGTTGACCATTGCTGCAATGTTTCCACCTTTATAATCAAGTCGAATGTAGATTGGCTTTTTCCCACTGTGATTTGTTTTACATTTGTGACTTCAGATCTTCCATACTCGTTGGTGACCCTTTGAGGGTACCCATTTCTCTTAATATCTTTTCAAGGAACTCAAACTCCTCCTCTAGTTTCTCTATAGAACATATTCTCCTCGCTCTATAGTACAGAGTCTTAACTAGACCGCGTTTAAAGCTATTTGGACAAAAGCTATTAAAATGCAAGTATTGTCCTTTCCATGTAGGCTTTCGATAAATTGACTTCTGAAGACTACCATCACTTTCATGTTCCATAGTAAACTCCATATTGGTATGTGCGTCATTGAACAATCTGAATAAGTGTAAAGCATGACTTTGATTGTTACACACTACAAATGTGTCATGACATATCGACAGTAGGAAGTTGTTTTGTCGATTGCATGCTTCAACTTCGTTCTTTCAAGGTTGAACAAGAATATATCTGCTAAAACAGGGCTAAGTGGACTGCCCATAGCTACACAACATATTTGGCGGTAAACAGTGTTGTCAAATTGGAATTGCACATCCACAGTACACATAAGTAGTAGGCATTTGAATTCCGACTCTGGAAGCGGGAGAAGATCATACTGCTGACAAATGATCTCAAAAGGTTCGTTGATTGGAATCATTGTGAACATTTGAGTACAAAATCCACATAAATCATGACTAAGTTGTCTGGAATGATACTATTATTGTAGTGAAATGATCGATACTTTGACTGTTGGCGGAGTTTTAAGAAGCAAAATATTACTATGATTATTCGCCCCTTGTGTTCCAAATGGAGTTTTGTGATTCAACAGTACATCCCTATTTCATCTTGTCCTACAATTCTTTCTAGCTGGATCCTCCACCTTCCCTTCCTTTTCCTCACAAGATCCCCCATATGTCGCCCTCTGGAGGCTAACTTGCCCATTCAGATTCTACTCGTGGATTTGCCTGGTATGCCAGATGTCTCCACTTCCTTCAGAATATTTGTGCAGCAAAAGATTATTTGGTTGGTAGGTTAACATAATTATTCCTTGTTGCTTTCATCCTTTCCTACTGGCCAGCTATCTTGCTCTTCAAACTAACGAATCAGAGAAGGAAGCAGCCGTTGATAAAAGTCTACAACAGGTTGTTGGAAATGCTTTTCCTGACACGTCAAGTCACTGAACTGCACAGAAGCATTAGACTTGACATTAGTGTTTAAAAAAAAGTTAGTTTGAGCCACGTAGGAAGGTCTATACTGGCTTTCTGGTTGGGAGGGGGGTCCTTGGTATTGTAAAAGCCAATGAAGGCTGGAGACAATTATCATCGGTGATACGGCCTAAAATCGTTCTCGGTAATGGCTGGCACAGATGCATCCACTCTTTGTGATTTGTCATATCCAGCAGAACTCTATTGTTCTTCGATATTACTACTATTCTTTTTTGCCTCATATTTCTGTCTTTTTTCTTGCTTTGTGTGTTATATGGAGGGGGGGGGGGGGTGGCAACTCGAACTGTTGCACATCTGTGCAAAGTCCTACGTTGAAACTAAGTACAGTAGATTTTCAGACTGATTTTATAAATTACTGAAGGTGTGTCTGGCTTTTCTGAACCTGTCTGACCTCATCTTCATCTATACACCTTTTGCCTATAGTTGAAATGATGTTACCCAGAAAAGTGGTACAAATGTCTTGATTTAGATTACTCCTGTTGACAGTGGTCGGTGGTAGTGGGAATCTCTTCATCACCTCTATCTAGTCTGTTTACTCAAAGTCCTGTTTTCAGTGCCAGCCTCTTGTGCCGATTACTTAGTTTTCACCTGTGCGTCGGTGGCACAGAGGTTAGGACGCTCTGCAACCATGCGCATGGTTGGGGGTTCGGTCCCCGGCCACCGACGCACCCCTTTACCTCGCTAAGCCAAAAATAAAAGCTGGTAAACAGGAAAGGTTGGGCATGAGGCTGGCTAGCAACCCTATCCTGTAAAAATAATAAACACCACTGCTACAGAAACTTCAAGCCTCAAGCTTGAAGCCCTATGTTCCACTAGGAACTTGAAGGAATAAAAAAAGAAACTGTGTAGACCTACGAGTTCTGGGTGACATTAGACATAAATCGCCACATATTTTACGTGTTAACTGACGACTACCTACATTTCCAAACAGCTGGCAATGAAGACTAATAAACACAATCTGGCTACCCAAAAAACTCGGTAGGCTAAAAGAGTATTTCAAGTGTTCGTTTGTAGGGATTTGATTGGTTACAGGATTTTCATCATGAGCTGCCATTGGTTAGAGAACCATTGGAAAACCTGGGAGTACTGGACAGCTGTTTCGTCCTAGTTTGGGACTCTTCATCAGTGCACACCCACCGGGATTCGAACCCAGAACCTTGTGATTACAAGGCGAGCTCGCATACCATTAAGCCACTGGGACCCGATCCTATGGCCAGCCCATGAATTCTAACTTCTGCCAATTCACATGTGCAACTTATATGTCAACCATTTCAGGCGATGATGGTTTGTAATTCTCTGAACTGCTGCATTTATCGTCTTATTTGAAACCTATACACTACTCGTGTGGTGTCGTAATATTATGTAGACAGTGCTAGTCAAATACATGAAGTCTTTGTAGGTCCTCTAAAGTCTAATATCCATGTTTTGCAACGATACAGTTGGGGGCACAGAGAATACTGCTGAGCAATATACTGAAATCTTCACGGCAATCGGAGAAATTGCCTGTGCCACAGACCACACAATCTGATAGCAATTGAGTGAGCCTTTTGTATCTAAGTGGAGACTTAGTCAGTCACCAACCAACCGACCTACTGAACTATAATTTGACTGTCAGTATAGGTGAAATGGTCAACACTTGACTGTTGTTATGCAGTAGTGAGTGTGATGTGGAGCATCCGTAAAGTAACAACTTACGTCCCAAACATTCTCACAGCTTGTTTGCTTGGTGTTTGTAAGACTCTGTAAGTTTGTTAGCGTCTAACCAAACAGGACTAAGGCGTCTGCAGACTCCAAGTTGACAATAGTGTAACTCCTGCGAGGAGATCAATCCCTGTGAATCCAAATGTACAGAAAGATCTCCATAAACGTCTCTCCAGCAGAAAATTGATTAAAAATGAAGAGAAAGGGAAATTCTTGATTGACTACTATTACTCAATGTGTAGATTTCACCGGAAGATTATTCCACAGGCTCAAAAACAATCAGGAATTTTCAAGCTAGGATACAGCTTTGAAAACTGGGATGGACTTAATGGGTATCGATTTCAGTGAATAACTTCACCATGGAACTAATTGTTTGATGGAGTCGCATGTCACCTTCAGGTAACTAAAATCAGTCAGTAGATGTGCTTGTGTTTCAGGATCTGACAGAGTTTGAATATTTCAAAGGTAAATTCATAGTAAGGTTTGAAAACAGCCTGGATTTTGCCTGTCTGTTGGTCCCCAGTCCCCCACACAACTCTGTTCCATCAAATTCAAATATATCCTGGAGATACGTCATCACTTTTCACACCATACAAAATATCCATTTGAAGTTGGGGTAGCTGATTGACAAGCAACCCAAGAATTGTTGAAGGCCCTCTGAATGTGCAATCGATATATTTCTTGATCTAAAAACGGCATTCGATTCAGTTGACCGAGAAGTTCTCTGGCAATGTTTGGATGTAAAGGGAATACCGAAAAATACATTGCACTGATCAAGGCACTCTACTCAAACTCATGCAGTCAGGTAAGGGCTTACGGCGGGTTGTCACCTGAAGTGGTGACAACTAGTGGTGTCCGTTAGGGATGTTCATTATCCCCATTTCTATTCAATATCACCATAGATGTACTAATGGATTCAACCCTAACTCACTTCAGAGACTCATGGATTGACTTGTTACCAGGGTACAATCTTGTTGACTTACAATATGCAAACGATATAGTCCTTCTAGGCGAGGACACTGACAAAATGCAGAGTCTGCTAAACACCTTGAGCTGCAATCTACGAATGTTTGACATGCGATTCGCTCCCGCCAAATGTGAGATCATGCTACAGGACTGACTGGACTACACTGACTCCTAGTTTAGAAATAGGTGGTGAAGTGGTAGAGCACGTTGATCGCTGCACTTATTTGGGAAGTACCATTGTAACATCAGAAGACAAGGGCCAGGCAACAGATCGTTTTATTATGAAAATCAACACGTATTTATACATCTTTCAGACTACATTATTATAGACAAGCGCAGTCATCTGATTGGTTGTTTAGGTAGACAAACGCAGGCTTCTGATTGGTTGTTTCGGGATTCCTTGACAAATAGAGTTCTCTATCTGCGAATCATATTTTGCCACGTTAACTTCGCTGTGATTGGTTGTTGACTCAGCCTTGTTCACGGCCCATATTAGTGACCTAGACCTTAACGTAGATTAGTGCCAACCAATCGGCTAGCAGTCTGCTCTCACCACACTCGTCCCCCCGTCAAATACGTGCGACTGAAGTCGGCTTGATCTACTTGGTGCAGGCGTCATCGTTGGCTTGTCTCGCTGTATCCATTTCTGGAGCTCGCTGACGTTCACGCGCCTCTCATTGTTCGCCATTGCGACTGTGTCTGCGTAACCCCATCTCGAAGTGACCATATATGGTCCTTCCCACTTTGGAAACTGTTTGCCTGACCCTGTCGAACATTCGTCCATACTTCGGCCGACACCTTCATATGCTGCTTTCGCCCGACCTCCCAGCAGCGTCTCAAGTAGCAGCTCCATCGCTGGCAGATCTTGAACGCCACTCAACTGCGCAGAAGCCTTGAAGTCCTGCCCGAAGATCCATATGTCTCCATCAAAAACTGCAGGGTATAGGCTTTTCATTTGTCGGTAGGCAGCGACACCAAATGTAACAACAGAAGACAAGGGCCAGGCAACAGATCGTTTTATTATGAAAATCAACACGTATTTATACATCTTTCAGACTACATTATTATAGACAAGCGCAGTCATCTGATTGGTTGTTTAGGTAGACAAACGCAGGCTTCTGATTGGTTGTTTCGGGATTCCTTGACAAATAGAGTTCTCTATCTGCGAATCATATTTTGCCACGTTAACTTCGCTGTGATTGGTTGTTGACTCAGCCTTGTTCACGGCCCATATTAGTGACCTAGACCTTAACGTAGATTAGTGCCAACCAATCGGCTAGCAGTCTGCTCTCACCACACCATCAGCCCCAACGGGTTGATCTCTGACAAAATCTCAATACGGATACAGAAGGCTCGTTTCGCAAATGCTATTTTACGCCATCTTTGGTTTAATAGACGAGATATCCGGCTGGTTAGCTGTCGACCAAAAGACGTGTGTACTGCTGAGCAGTCCGCTCCGTAATATTTTATGGCTGTGAGACATGCTGACCATTGAGAGTGGACAACATGAAAAAGCTAACTGTCTTTGATCATAGGTGCCTGCGTTCTATCTCCCATGTTAAGTCGTATAACAGAGTGAGCGATACTGAGGTTAAACGTCGACTTCTAGGTAAGGAGGGGAAATCAATCGACGAGACTGTGAAGTTACATCGACTGAGATGGTTAGGACATGTGTTGAATATGCCTAGCCATCGCCTCTCGACATCAGGCAATGTTAGCTGACATCGGATCAGGTTGGAAAAGCGCCAGTGGTGGTTAAACCAAAGCGTGGCTTCATCAGTCCATCAAATCCACAACAGTCAGTTTAAGTCACGTGGGAAGATGTAGACTTCCTGGTTGGGGTACTCGAGACTGTAAAAACTAATAAAGGCTGGAGACAGTCGATAATATGGCTCAAAATCGTTCTCAATGGCTTGCGCAGATGCATTCACTTATTGTGACTTATAATATCCAATGAAACTATATTGGTCTTCGTTATCACTATTCCTTTTGCCTCATATCCCTGTCTACTGTCTCTATTTTGCATTTCGCCAATTTTCTTTTCTTGCTTTGTGTGCTAAATAGAGGGAGTGTGGCAACTTGAACTGCTGCATATCGGTGCAAAGTTATGTTGAAAACAGATAGAATATGCAAAAGACGACTGTAAGATTCGTTCCTGTGCACACTATCGATTAAATCATTGGAAGACATAGCATAGTCCAGTGGTAAAAAGCTCACCAACCACGCCCGGTGCAGTCCAGAGGGTTCTATTCCTGACCAACAAACTCTTAAACCTCACTTAGCCGATAAAGAGGGAAAGTTTGGCTAGCAACCCCACCCCTTAAAATCAACACCGCTGCTTGAAACTTTAAAACTTAAGCCTGAGGCTTTATATTTCACTCAGTATGCAAAATGAATGGAAAAGAGCAGATGGAATGCTCAATACAGCTGTCAGTTGAAAATGACGTTGGGTGGAGTACACCTTCCTTTACCTACATAGTTTCATCAGCTTATGTCTGTCTGTCTGTTTTCGACATAGAACTTTGCACAAACGTGCGGAAGTTCAAATCGCTACACTCCGTGTAGCACGCGAAGCAAGAGAAGAAAGTACAAGAAAAGCATAATAGAGACAGTGAGCAGAGGTGTGAGACAAAGGAGTAATAAAGAAGAACAAAACAGTTTCATTGGAGATCATAAGTTACAAGGAGTGGATGCATCTGCGCCACTGAGAACGATTTTGAGCCATGTCACCAATTGTTTCCAACCATAGATTTTTACAAAATTGCTAAAAATACCAATATAGACATACGTCTTTTACGAGTTGAATATAGTACCTGAGTGCTTAAAAACCAAAAAATATAAACTGCAAATCAATAACTATCTACACATATAGACAACAGCTTCTCAATGCTACTGGGACTTTTTGTTGTTGTGTACAAGCATATTGACAACTCACCTCTAGGTATTCAAGAAATCCATCTTCATGTTCACTTGGTGCTTTTGGTTTCATCAAAGCAATCTGTTCTACTTCACCTTGTAGAATAAGGAATCTGTTGTGATCAATATCTACACCATGACAACGCAAAAGATTAGCCACATCACGATATACAGCTCGATTACTGTTGATCAAGTAACAACTGGAATTATCTTTATAAGCTCGACGTGAGACAACAAACTGAGTGTCTGGAACAACCTGTGGAATAGTAAAAAAATCAATAATAATAACAATAGTCACGTGCGACTAAAAATATTCAAAATTACAGCTTCTCGTTTAATTATTAGTGTTAAACCATTCGTTTTGGAGAGAACAATTTTCTGCTGCTGATCTTTCCTGGTTGTCTCATATCTTGATGATTTCCAAGAAAATATTCCGTCTTACCTTCTACATCAAGAAGTTAAGACATTCTGGGATAACCCAACCTTTACTCCTACAATTCGTTAACTCTCGCATTCTGCCTATTATTCTCTATTGTTCCCCCTTAGTTTTTCCTGGGCTACTGAAGAAAGACTATACCTTATTACGCAGGATGTTAAAGGTTGTCAGCAGGGTAAGCAACGTGCCACTTAACCAGCTTGTTAATATTCTGGTTGACAGGCACTTGGACTCATGTGAAAAATGGGCTAAATCCATTTTATCTAACTCACACCACCCTCTTCATTCACAACTCTCCCCATGTATCTCATTAGGAAAAACCAGAAGTCTATATAGAAAACTATATGCTCGTACTATTAAGTACAAAAACTCAACCATACCCTACTTGACTCGTGTTCTGTGCATTAGGTGTGATACCTATAACTTCTTAAATAGTCAGTAGAACAACTGGATCTCGTCTTTCCAACTCATATCATTTATAGGTAGAACGATTTTCTTTCTTTCCTTTCCTCTCTCTTTTTTTCTCTGTTATGTGCAGCTTTGTTTCTTTCTTCCTTACAAACTCTATTGAAAACATCCTTCTTCGTTCTCTCACACTCTGTATATCTCGACCTTTTGTTACCCCTTACGCCAGTAAATATGCTAGTATCTACTTTTCTAACAACTTCAAACACACTGTTCAATTTTGGCTTTGCTACCGACATGCGAATATGTTGTTGTCATAATGAACTGAGATTACCTCAATCTATGTAGAATTTTATTTATTGATAATGTTCTAACTGGATGCAATACTGTAGTGGAATGCTGAGAATTCCATTCTGTATCACAAGTACTGTTTTGGAATAAAGCATATTATTATTATTACTATTATTATTATCTTAAGACATCCGAAACACAAAGTTGACATGACATATCAGACATTGGGTTTTCCCATAAATAAATCCCTCCTCCCAGAGTGCAAATTATGATTTCCCGATGCGTATTAGCAATAGTGGTTGACCACCGAATATCTCCGAATGCGTTAATAGGAAATCTCAGAACTTTCACTACTAACATTCACTACTGCCTGGTCGGGGTTCTCAGTATGGTAAGAACCAATGAAGACTGGAGACAATTATCGATGATGTGGCTCAAAATCGTTGTCAATGGTTGGTGCAGATGCATTCACTCACTCTTTGTGATTTATCACATCCGATAAAATTCTATTGTTCTTCCACATTACTATTCTTCTTTCCTTACTCACACTTCTCTTTATTGTCTGTTTTGAACATCTCTTTACTCTCTTCTCTTGCTTTGTGTGTTACATGGAGGGAGTGTGACAGCTCGAACTGCTGCACATCCGTGCAGTTTTAAGTTGAAACCAGTCAGCTACTTTCCAAAGGCACTATATTACACTACACAGAAGACTTGATTGGTAGTGAGAATCACCTGAGATTTGTCATTCATCTACAGTGATCTACTGGAACTCTAAGTTCGTTTAAAAGTGGTGAGAGATTCAATTTTATGCCAGTAAATAGCTGACATAACTGAATCTACGTTGCTTGTATGACAAGATGGTTCAATGGATACCCAGAGTACAAGAGGGTGGAGTATTTGAATATGTTATACTGCGTAATATCTTAGTTACTCGGGAGAAATTTTGATGGCATCGGGCTGTGAACCCCATTTATTATATGGGGTATCATGATATGAGTCAGCTGTCCCCAATAGGCTAGAGTGGGATTCAAACTCTGGATCCAAAAGCTGAAACTCAACTGCACAAGTATGAGGGTCACATTAAATCTACAAACACGATGGTACAAAAATTAGCATGCTTTAAAAATGTACAACGTGATATTTAGAATAATAAGTCACAGGCTAAAGAAGGGCGAACTTGGGATAGTACGGGAATTAAGAAATGTGTCAGACAAAATAATTTAGCAACGAAATAAAGGATAACAAAACATTTGGGGAATTACAGAATGATAACAGGTAAGCGTACTTATCGAGTGGATCGAAGGGAGCGTTGATGAATTCACACTACTTTCCACAGAAATAACAAGAAAACTTAAGCAAATTTGCCACTGACTTTGATTCTGAGCTACATCTACGTTTCTCTGACCTAACTCAAAGAGTCATTCACCAACAAACGCTAACACAACATAATTATCTTTCATCTTATGGAACTTCAATAGGTTGGCCATTTTACCGTTTTTAAAACTACAGTCAAGATTAGCATGTTATTAACTGTTTACTCCAGGGTGGACAGCCTTTCTTCAGGTAACTGATCTATGCCGACCTCAAAATACACATCCTTCAGAGTTGCCAAAATGTAATTGATAAGAAAGTTAAGGAGGGATGGTAAAATTAAGTAATTACAAACTTTGCTAACCATGCCGGATAATGCTCAGAGATGCGTTTGGAAAGTAACTACTATTGAGGTGCAGTCTAAATGTCCAATTCAAGTTCAACAACACTATTTATAGACAAGGAGATGGAGTGGCAATGGCGTTAACATTGGGTCCTTTACTTGCAGACTGCTTCTTGGCAAGTTTGGAGAATAGTATTTTACGGCCTACTATCGATAGGTTCCATTTGTACCAAAGATACATGGATGATACTTTCACCATATGTGACGACAATACCGACATCGAATTGATAACTAAAGAGTTCAACAGTTGCCATCATGCCATCCAGTTCACGTCGGAATCAGAGATTAACTCGGAATTCTATTTTTTGGATGCTTTTCTAAAAAGAAGATCGAATAGTTCTCTTCAAAGATGGATCTACAGGAAACCAACATGGAATGGTCAGTGCACAAATTTCCAAAGTTTGATTCCTTTGAGAAGAAACGGAAGTCTGATTCACTTCTTATCCTTAAGAATAAGGAGGATATGTTCCAGTGATACACTCGATGGGGAACTGGGGCGACTCAGACAAGTCCTCAAAGAGAATGGATATCTCCCAAGATTTATCGAGAATAACATGAAGTTAAGGAAAAAGCCTGAAAGAATCCAGACGGTGCCGAAGAAACTGCTATTTATGAGTGTTGAATTTAAAGGTGATACCGTAGCTGAGATCCTGAAGAATCGCTTATGCAGATCACTGAGGAAAGCCTTCTTTAAGGCTGAGCTACGTATCAATTTTTACACCCAACAAATGATGACTGGATGTGTGAAGGACAAACTGCCGCTTTGGGCCACCTCAATGTGTGTTTATAAATTCACCTGCTCGTGTGGAGATAGTTATATTGGCCGCACAAAGCGCACGCTTTCCAAATTATAAACTTGTTAGTGATTATAAAAAAGGGTAATAGGTATTCGCATTCCCTTATTCCAACTAAGGCACCTTTATATCCGCCATTCAAAATGTTGACTACTTTCTAACACCTCACTCTAACAGACAATTCTAAAGAGTAGTGGTGTCTTAGGAAAACACCCTCAGTTCAGAGCACATGTGTGGTTTTCAAAAACTTAAGCTAACCATTAGTATGTACCATCCTGCAGAATACAACGGCTTTTGACCAGTAACACCTGGAAAAAATTGATATTTTATTGTTTGCTATTAAACAATCAAAACAGTAAAGAGGTGGTCAACAGAAAACATTACAAAGAATGGACCTAAATATCAAAATCAAGCAACTAAGTAAAACCTGCAACGTGATAAGACAATCAACAATGATATCCATATTGATCACCTAGACTTTTGCAGATGTCAGCTATCTCACATTCGACATTTGATTGGCTAACGGCCTTTACAAAATTCACTTAATTATCGAAAATCATTTTGAAAGCTACTGTCTGTCTATCATGAGGACATTAAGTAATACAGTTGTCTTCAACCTTACTAGATATGTAGTACCACCCCTCTCCCAAAAAAAGACAACTCACTTCATAATCCATAGCACCGGGACCATGGTCAATGATCTTTTGAAAGTGGACTGACACCATACAACTGGGCGCGTTAGGCACTAATTCGCTATTGTGTATAAGTTGACTTATCTTCTTCGAACGCACTTTTGATGCTCGATATCCAAACACAAAAAGCATTGAATCAATTACATTGCTTTTACCACTACCATTAGGTCCTGTAAAATGCGTATAAATTATCTAGAAAATATGACAAGGGCATACCGATGATACAGCTGAAGTTTTTATGAAATGGTCCCATAACACGTATACCTCCATATGATTTGAAATTTTCTGTGACAATCTGAGTAATTATTAGTCTGGGACCAGTAGCATCTCGAGATTGCACCAATGGAGGCGGTGGAGGAATCTCCACTGGTGCACAATCATTTAGAACGTCTTCATCATTTATGAATCCTTGCTGTTCCCTAGGCTCTTCAGGGTCAACGTCCATCAGGGTTCAGTTCTAATAAAAAACAAGAATAATAAGAAGCATTTTATGAAAATTTAGTAGGATACGCACACATGCACACAGACTACACCTAGTTTTGACGTGCAACAAAACACAAGACCTATAAAAAAAATTGTTTGAAGAATTCAAGGGACTTAGAAATCTCCGAAATTTTGACACATGAGTCAGTATAATTACTTTTAACTCCTGTCCTATTATTATAACCCGTTTCTTGAGCTCCCTAAGCAACATATTCATTGTACTTTGTTCTTTGTAATCGCTTTTAACTGACTCCACAACTGTCTACAAGTTTTTACATCTTCTTAGCATGATCCTCATGCCACTCTTGGGGACTTTCACTCAAATAACCCTAACACCACACTTTCACTTACAGTGTTCTGAATATATTTTGCGGTTTAAAACCCCTAATTCCTAATCATAATTTACAAACATCACTTATACTTATTCCCTTATACATTTACTCCTGTTACTCAGACATCAACTTCATACCTTAAGAACACAGGCATATTAAAACTATAATCAGTGGATGAAACTGTAATTCAAACATACCAAAACAGCTGACTTACAATTAATACTACAACACCAAACATCCACAAGCAAGTTTGAATTGTATTCAGCGCCCATGCTTGTTCAAGTTTCCAACTATTCTTCAAGAGCTTGCATGGACCTTATAATTGCTTAGAGCTAATTTCGTGTTAGTATGCATCATGCGGCAGTACTTCGGTGATTCTAAAGTATAGCAGCCCGCACCAAAACTACTTCTAGCCACCAATCACATTCGTAACAAGTAGAGGTGCACAATTTGAAATGTACGCATATTTACAAGTAATACCATGTAAAAAAAATGGTTACATGGGACAATATTCATGTATATTTCCCGTGAAAACCCCCCACTTTTTCACGGAATTCCTCATAGACGGGTTAAACCAACTTCTGTAAATAAATTTGTCAAAGTCATCAATTCGTTCATTAGGTAGTATCGGTTTTGGCCGCTATAGTTTAGAGTCACTCTTTTGTGCCTTCTAAACGGCATGCCTGCGTTTTCCTGTTCATTATCTGGGTATGAGCTTTGAGCACAAATGACGTGGGCGTTTTGAAATTTAAACACATTTACTAACTTCAAGGAAGCAAATATCGGATAACAGTAGCTGTTATCCACCTATTACATTAACTCAGGATATCACAGCTGTTCGGAAGGCATTCTGATAATCCGATTCATAAAAAAAGAATTCATCGGGGATGATGATTCCAAAATCAATAGAGATAAATGATATCAATGAATCATAGACATCCCTCATCAGTCAGATGTACGGGCAGGCTAAGGTTGAAACCCCATCCTTCTGCCAGTCAAATGATATGTGCCATCACATTGACTTAACCATAGTGATAACTGAGGCATCTGAATTATTGTACGCATTCACTGGACAGGTAAATGGGGGATACAGATTTGTTCATCCTCTGACTTGGTAAGACATCGCGCCGATAATGGTATTAAAGCACAAGAAGTGGAATGTCGGTAAGTGACTGATGTCCACATCTTAATTCTTAGCTCGATGGAACAGCACATCCAGCCCTTCTGCTGAAAAGACGACATGGCTCTGATCATCTAAAAGCGCTTTACCATGTCTGTAGCTTCAGAGATCTGAAAGGTTGGAAACCTTAGGGAGAGTTAATCTGTATGATGTCTCACGAAATCCTCCTGGACCCATGGGGTAGCATCTTGACAAGAAGCTGACCAGGCCTGCAGATAGAAGGGGCAAAATCACCTTTTTATAATTTATATCTGTGCAGCCATTTCTTCTTCTTTTTGTTAAGGATCTAGACTAGTGTTTAATTCTCACGCTGTCAAAAATGCATGCTGCTGTCATACAGTTTGGAGCGTTTCACATTTGTGATTACCATTCGCGACCCTTCCTCCTTGTTTGGTGCTCAGCTTTGAGACTCCTGCGATAATTTTAGTTGTAGCATTGCATTGCTTTGAGTCTGTCCTATTTATACAGTAGGCTGCACATTAGTAGCCCTCATAACAAGTGCTTCCCATTCGGTGACCAGATACATCGATATCTGAGGTCATTCTTAACAGCATCACCTTTATACATGCATATAAGTATGCAAATAGGTTGTGACAAGCAATTAGGAAATTAAGTTTTCCTTAAAAATTATAAATTATAGAAGTAGTTAGTATTAAAGCGACTAAGTTACAGTGTATTTGGCAAAGCGAAATTGACTGAAATTATCACACACACAAGGTCATTGGAAGAATGAGACACATCAAGGTCATTTTCCTCCATGTCGGTCGTCCGTGTTGGAATGCGTCCCCTGACCTATCGTTTACAGATTGGCTTTTACAGTTAAACTGCAGTTATTCACAACATATCTTGATAAACATTGTCAATGTGATTGAAGAATGAACGATTAAATTCAGAGTAGTTTCCTCAAAACCAACTTCAAATTTTGGTAGGAGTCATCGATACTGCAGCAATCGTTCCAGATTCTATTCAAATTTCCGAATCTGGGGAGACTTCTCGAACACTTCCGGGATCACTAACTCAATCTGCAGCCAACCAAAAATACGACACGGAATATCACTGCACTTTGGATCCTTCTGTGACGTCCTATGATCCCTATGACAAAGAAGGGACAAAGCGTCTTGGAAGCAAGCAGGAAAGTGAGTTATGCTGAGTTGCTTGTTAATTGTAATGATATGTGTGATGCTCAGCATAATGAGTCTGTTGTTCACGGTTCGCTGTTTAGGGATAGTAAGGGTTCAAAATTAACGAAGTTAGTACCTCGTTGTTTCAAAGGAAACACAGCTGACTATTTACAGTTTGTAAAGGAGTTTGAAATCACTTTGAGTGGTTTTTTATTAAATGATGAAATTAAGTTGATGTATTTGATGTGGTACTGCACTGGGGTTGCTTCAAGAGCTATACAGTGCTGTAAGTTCATGCCCCCTAACGAAAGATACTCTGAGGCTATGAGTATACTTCGTCAAAGGTTTGGGAGACCTTCGATGATTGTGAGGAACGCATTCGAGGCTGTTAAAGGTAATGGTAGTCAATTACAAGGTGACTCCAAGACACTCACTGAGTTTTTGGATAATCTGATGACCTACAAGAATACGTTGATTTCGATGAATTGCATGAGTGATCTGAACTCGAGTTCCGTCCCAGAGGTAATAGCGAGACGCCTACCTACTCGACTGCAAAGGAAGTGGGTGAAGATAAGCTCTCGTATAGACGATGAAGGTATTGAGCCAAAGTTTGATGATATTCTGAAACTGGTAAAAGATAGTGTGAATCAATCTATGAGCAAGTTTGCCAGTATATTACATCCCAACCCTAGAATAGAGAAGTCTGAGAGCAAAACGCAATCGTTGATGACGAAGAGCTCTCAGCGAAGTGGATATCGGGAAGGCTTTATGGTGCCTAGTAATCCATATAAACTTAGTGAGTGTGACATCTTTCGTGGGACATCCCAACAGATAGGTTACAAGTTGCGATACAAACACGGTTGTGTTTTACACGTTTGCAAGAAGTGCATACAAAGGCGAACTGTGAAACAGCGACCAAGTTTAGTGGCAAGCCAAATGCGAAATCAAGGTCTGACTCCGAACCGTGCGACGATAATGTTGCGTTGAAGAAGCCTGTAGCTGCAACTGGTAAGCCATTGTTGAATAGAGTGTTACAGACGACACCGCAGTTTGTGCAGAAGGAAGGAGTTACAGTTTCAGAGTCTAGTTCTGACTCCACAAGTTTTCAAGGTATTACTAGCCAGAGTAAAGGTATAAAACCCTTAAGGAAGAACCCATATTGTCTACTGCTGTTATTAGAGTTTGAAAATGATGAAGTTGACCATACAAACGGAGGTAAATTGGATATTTGTGACAGTTGTCATGATAGCGCAGATTTGGTTTTGGCTGATCATGATGAGATGAACGGAATGCCTGCTACTACTGAGTTGAACAAAGGTTCTGTACAACTTGAACGTCAAGTAGAATTAAGAGCAGATGCGGTAGTAGAAGGTATGGATAGTCGTGAGACCGTCAGTGTGAATGATCAGCGTGTAGCCCACCTATCAACAGATGTTAATGCTATAATGAAGCTAATAGTAAAAGATAGCAGTGGTGGTAATCCTACAGTTAGACGACCTTCTAAAGGTTGAACAACAATGGCTTCTGATGCACCGCTAAGTTCATCAACTGGTATCAATCAGCCGTCGTTGGTGTTGTCATCAACACTTAAGGTGAAGTCTATGAACCCAAGTGTCTTGTGCTGTGACTATGCTAGTATCAGTCCGTTTGAAAAGACGAAAGCCAATGGTCGGTTAAGTGAAGATAAGCCAACTGTATATGAGAGTGTAATTGTTGAACTGACTTGCACTAATAAAGGCCTTTCAGGTTTCAAGTTATTATTTGAATGTTAGTATCTTTGCTGTAGATTGCTCTGTACCTACACTTGGTTGGTCAGATACGTCGTATGTTTGCTAATCATCTATATTCTATGACACAATGTCATGGGCGTGTCACCGTTCAGAATTGAGGATATAGATGATGGAAGGAGGTCAGAAAATGAACTCTGCGACGATTTTCTAATCTGGGCGTCAACCTGAGAAGGATTGTAGGCATACTGCCGTAACTCCTACAGTTCTTCAAGGGTAGTTCGTCAAGGCATAATCCACAACATTCGATGTATTGATTGTACACATGTTTTTATTAAGTAATTGAGTGGGTTCCAGTTAATGTCATTGTTGGTTAATCTTGTTTGTGTCCAGATATTCTGCAACCTACAATCGTCAACCTGGGAAGGGTTGCGGGCGTACTGCGATTCTTCAAAGAAATAACATCGAGACACAATCTGCGAGGCTGTGTGTACTGTTATAATATACGTCTGGTGTGTCATATCGATTGATGTTTTTGGATTCACTGCGTTTACTTGTTGTTTTCGTATCTTGTCGTTATGCATAGTTTTGTTAAATTTTCG